GAGTTGGAGGTAAGATATAAGCAAGCTAACTTTCTCATTTCCTTCATGAAATGCTGTGCAGACACAGTAAAGGCATGCTGCCGCTGTTTGTCTTGCTCATGTGATCCTTTCCATCCTGTACGGCATCTTGTTGTGGACATCGACTCATGCCTGCTTCTGTTTCCACATTTCACGTGTCTTTCCCACTCTGTGCCATCTCCTGTAATTCTGAAGGACAGCCTCTCGTTTTGTCATTAATGTGCCCTATTAAAGCTTTTAACTCATGACGAGCCATCATATTACTGCTGCAGCAGCACGTCTCCATCAGGTGTAATTACATTGTCAAGCGTCTCGGCCGACACGAAGGCCTCCAGGACCTTATTAGCCCACTTTGCATTCAGCTGCAGGGAGGCTGGCGGGCTGCAGCTGCATCGACTTTTTGCCCGTCACGGCAGCGGGAGTCGGATTTAGGCCAGCCGGCCGATCGCTCAGCATTTGACTCCCATAAGTCAGTGCTCTGACACGATTTAAAATGATTTGATGCCTGTAGCTTCTCCTTAGCTGGGATTGAACAAGAGAGAAGCGCTCCCTTCAATTGGAGCATGAAAACTGTCGGAGTTTAATCAAATCAGGAGGAAGCTGCTCGGCAAATAATTACAGAAATAGCTTGCAGGATTTGAGTGGCACGTAGAAATGGAAGAGCAGATTGGTGCCGGCTAAAGGCGGAAGAGGAAAACAGAAAAGATAATAAGAAACTAAAATATAAATATAGATTTGTTGATGTGGTTGCAGAATCCATTAGTTGAAAAATATATGGATTTTTTTTCCTCCAGGACTGAGAAACTCAATGTAAAAAGTAAAATATTATGTCAACCTATGTGATCCGTATTAAAATATTATCTTAGTTTTGTGTCGTAAAACTAAAGTAAAGATTAAGTTTGCACTCTTCTTTATTTTCTGTTTTTAACTTTTTTGTAAAGCAAATTGATTCTTTCTGCACTGAAGCTGCAAAGTCGATGAAAATGCAATTGCAATCATAATTTTAGTGTGTGCAACACCACATTCACAAAAGACTACATGGATCCGGCAGTTTTTCGGTATAAAATTGCAGGTGCCATGTGTTCGTAGTCATCAAGATAGTGAAGCTCAAGAGTGGAGGTCACTGTGAATGTGGAAAGGAAAGAGAAAAGTGGGAAAACTCAATTTATGTAGAGCTTTTCTCACCATACTGACCACTGTACAGTCACTTTCACTCAGTTGCCCTAACAAATTCATGCACCGAAACAATGATCAGCAGGCAACTTGCCCAGGAGCACATTGGCATGTGACTGAATGTGGAATCAAGCCCACAACCTTTCGGCTGCAATACGCACTGATCCACATTCATCCCCATCCTGCAGCAATCTGTTGCACCAGGAGCTTGTATTGATTCATTGGTTTTCTGTCAATTCAAAGCCATGCTGAAGATGAAACTTGTAATGAACACTGACTTTAGATAAATAATATTTTTTTTAAAAAACTAAATTTTCAGGTGAATAAGTAACCAACAGATGCAGTCAGTCTCATCTGTTAGCTTGATAGATGTTTTGTCTCATCAGGAGTTGTCTGACACATTATTCTACTCCTCATATTAAATTCGCTGCTTACTCATGCTGATGATGTTTTCATACGTCACTGATGTCCACTGTCTGTTGTGATATGACTTGTTGATGACGTGGCTTGCCGCATATTAAGCTCAAGTTAATTTTCTTCAGAAAAAAGCTAATTTTGTGCTTCATACTCTTAACAATGTGCCATCCATACATCCATCCATCTGACGGGTTGCCATTTTATCACAGATTTAAAGCATTTAAATTACTACAGAATATAAAATCATTTGTTGTAGTTTAAATTAAAGACTTATGACTGACCACAGATGATTCCACTTTTATATTTATAATCTAATCTGCCGTCAGGAAATCAACAATGCATTAACCTGAAATAACAAAAAAATCACAAAAAGGCAATTTGAATCAAAATTGTCTTCACAGAAGACAAAATACAATCGAGGCAAAAAAAATAAAACAACCTACAAATCAAAACACAAAAAATCTACATTCATTAACAAGATAAAGAAGTTCTGTTACAAAAGTCTGTTTCAGGCTTTCTCTTCAAAAGATAAGAGGAAATAATTATAGTTAGACTTAAACATACTATATTGTCGTTGCACAAAAACACGGCAACCACATGTTGCTTGGCCAGCAGAGTACACAGGAAAAATACTGAAAAACTATTGGTGTAACTACACACAGATATATAAAAGTGTCATTGATGCGGGTCAGAAAACGAAACAAAAACTTATGCAGGAACATAATCCGTCACACCTCAAGAGAAAACATTTGAGAGCTACAGAGGATGAAAAGAGGCCAGATAGTTTGAATAAATCAGATGAACTCTGATCTATGTGCAGTTCAATAACCACGCATGTGATGCTTTCCATTTCCCTCCACAGATGGTGTCCGAGCTCAGCTGGCGGCAGACGAAAACCTTTGTCGCATCTGCATGGACGCCATCATCGACTGCGTCTTGCTTGAATGCGGCCACATGGTGACCTGCACCAAATGCGGAAAGAGGATGAGCGAGTGCCCCATCTGCAGGCAGTACGTGGTGCGGGCCGTGCACGTCTTCAAGTCCTAAAACTGAAAAGCAATTTCCGTTGCGTCGGAGCGCGCGTGGCCTGGGAGTTAGCACGGAGGAGGAACCTGATGCTGCAACAATTGTGAAAGAATTGTTTTGTTTTTCCAGACTAGACTGTTGCCTCTGGCCTACATTTCCCCCCCTTCGTCCCACCTTACTGACTGGCTCCACCTGTCCTCCGGCCACGCCAGGTCTCCCACTCTGCACAGCAGACACCGACACGACTCTCTGCTTTAAATCCTTACTTGTGGGAGGCAAGAGGAGGTGGTTCTGTGGACGCTTCGAGAGGGTCTGTGGCGATAGATTTGAGATCCCAGGGTTTTAGAGTTGATAAGGTTTACACTGTCATGCCACATGGCACTGTGTGATCTCCCTCAGTGTTCATTAGGATGTGCAATATCAGAGAAAAAGACTTTGTGCGTGTGTGTTATTAGAAAAACACGTCAGCCATTTCATCCATCACACACTAGGGTGCCAAACAACATGCCTTCACAGGATGTTTTGGTAAAGATCTCACAGTATGCATCTCATAACCAGCAAGCTTGAGTTCATAGTACACTTTCATTCTTTTTCAGATCAACTTTAGAAAACAAGGTATGGACACGTTTTCCTGCTAATTCATTCTGACAAAAAAAATGAATAAATCTGAAGTCAAACCCAGCTTTACCTGGACCACGTCTCAGCCCCCTTATTTGTTAAGAAAATATTTTTATTATCAAGCTTGCAACAATTTGAGAGCCCTGCATAGTTTGCATAGTTTATGGTTGTTCCTTTGGGGAATACAGGAAAGAATTACCCTCTGATTATTTATTATGCTGTCATCTACAGTGCCTTGCAAAAATATTCATATCCTTGAACCTTTTTTCTAGGTTGTTTTACCCAAACTATAACCACAAAGCTCAGCGTAGTTCAGTGGGATTCTGTGAAATTGGCCAACATCAAAGTAAGCACGCCAGTGGAAAGTGGAAAGGAAATCATCCACGCTTCCTTATCTTGTCACTTCCTGAAGAGCCTGCAGTGAAAAATTTGATCTTTAAGGAAGAATATTCCTGGTCAAATGAGACCAAAATAAAACATGTTTGTGAGGAGGCGTAAAGTCGGGCAGTGCAAGGGAAGCTGGGCCAAGTTGGCGTGAAGATGGATGGAGGTAAATAGAGGAAATACTGGGATAAAAGCTGCTAGAGCCTGCAAAGAAATCGATCAAGCAGAACAACAACCCTGAACGTTCAGATCAAAGCTCTCTGTTCGTCTAAAACAAAGACTTGAAAATTAACGTGGAAAGAAAGAATGGGCAAACATTTCAGTTGCTACTACTTTGTGTTGGTCTGTCACAAAAAAATCTGTTTGTGGTTGTAACGTAATAAAATGTGAAAAAAGTTCTAGGGCATGAAAACTTTTGCAAATCATCTTAAAAACCTTCACCATCTTCTTCTGTTAACCGTGCTTCTTTATGGTTCAATCCTTGCTAATCAGGTGCTATTTCCTCCATTTATCGCCGTTAGGTCATCAACATAACTTTTGTCTCGTGGTCCTACATCCTGCAACACAGAGCTAGCTGTATTTACTTTAACCTGTTATGCAAATGACACACTTTCATGTCAAAAGAGGCAGTTAAATCTGTTTTCAAGTTCTTTGCAGGAAACTGAGTAGATCTCATAGTTAGCTTCTGTTGTTCATTGATAAGCTGTTTTCTTGTAAGAAACATGATTTTAAAAAAAAAACAACAACAAAAGAAAAACTCCACTGACTAGAGAGGGTTGAGAATTTTCCAGAATGTACGCTCACTGCGTCGCCGTCTCTCTCTTTGTTTGGCGTGTTTCTGTCACCAGGTCCAAACAACTGAATCTGTTGATCACCATTTCCACTGTACGGAGCACTGAAACTCTGTAGGTCCTGTTGTCGAAGCTGCTGTTTGTCGAAGATGTCATTCACGGGCAGCTACGATAATATCAGACTGGGAGAGCACTCATATTCACAGATATTTATATTCTGAATGTTGAACCTTTTTATTTTGGTTAACAGGAGATAAAAAATGATTTATTAGATTCAATAAAATGCAGTATTACAAACCAAAAGCTTTAAAGTCTGCTCTTCATTTCTATATAGAGTTCATTTAATTATCAGCATTAAATCAAACATCAATATTGAAAAATAAAAATGGTTTGTTGATTATTTATGCCTCAAATGTTTGCTATAATCTTAATAAATGCAAAAACAGACAACATGCTGCCATAACCAACCCAGTCCTGCGTAAAACTAAATAAATGCATGAATTGTTCTCATCTTAATGAATAACATTCACACTCATAAAATGTGAAACCTTTGAAAAAAATGAAAATTGAAGGCCTCATTGTTCATAGTGAATTTAATATCTCAAAGATTTTCTATAAGATTTACATGTATGTTTTGAACAGATAGACTGATCTAAGGTAATATACAAAACAATCTCACAGAGACAGTCTTAAAAAATGAGTCTTTAAGAGTAATGCTGATAAACTGTAAACATGGACTGACATTTTATCAAACAAAATCTTTCCACAAAAGGAGAACCATTAAAAAAAAACATTTCTCATGAAAACTAAAATTGTTCAGTGTTACAAACCAAAAACAAACTAAAAAACACTTCTGTAAAATGTTGCAAATAAAGAAGTATTTTGCTAGTATATCTGTTCCCACATGATAAATTGGTAATGCGTCTTGGTTTCGTATTAAAAATAAGAGATCACGCCTTTAGACATGAAGTAAAACCTTGAAACTTATCTTCAGACCAATGTGCTTGGCTGTCATGAATTTAGCAGACGACAAAATATTTATTTATTTAAAAGCTTCAACTGCAGCAGATGGAAACCAAATCTGCCATAGTGCCGAAATCCAGAATAATCACGATTTTGGAATAAAAATGAATGAAAAGCTGCCTTGTTGTTTTTTTTTCATTATTTTTAATTCCCTTCTACTTTTTCAGACTTTGTAGATTAATATGATTCAGAACTGCTTATTTTAACCTAAGGGGATCCACTAAGTTTTAGTAATGTTAAAATATTAAATCTAAAGATGGATGTAAACATTTCTTTGCTGCATGCAGAGCTAAATCGCTTTTGTCTGGAAAGCACCAGCTAGAGAGATGGCAAAGAGGCGACTGCTCACCAACGTCTTAATGCAGAGCAACCGAGTCAAATGCAAGCAGTCAGTAAAATTACTCAGCAGAACGTTTTAGTGTTGAAAAAATAGGCTTTATACACTGTACAACGTAGCGTATGTAGGAATACATTCATGTATTCGTATGTACCTCATGAGTGCAAATAAGTTTTAAGCTTTGAAACATACATACAGGTACAGTACCTGATCCAAATATGGTCTTTATATTGGAAAACTTTTTTTTACAGTAGCTTTATCTAATAGAAAAAAAAAGAAAAAAAAACAGATCCAGGCACATTCAATAAAGTGTAAAAACAACCGCACAAACACTAATTACCTTCCAACCTTAACTCCACAGAGCTGAACAACAATGCCAACTGATTATCTTTTTTTTTCTTGTTTTAGCAATATGATACTATACACTGGTGCATTTTATATTGCACGTAAATGTAAGAAAGACTTTCTGATACAAAAATAGTGATTTAAATGCAAAGATTATTGCATTAGAGCAAAATAGTCTATAAACACCAAGGGATAGCTGTGATAGAATATGCAAACAGTTTATCAATAAATAAGTCATAAACAGGCGCAACAACAAAAACATTTAACGCAATATTGCCATAGCTGGACAAGACCTCCATTTTTACATTCTGGCTCAGCAGCACATCAGTATTTACCGGCCGTGTGTCAGTTCTGTGTCTCCATCACAAAGTCGTCTGCTGCCTCCAAGTGGACGGTAGTTTTGTCACAGTCTCTCCCGCTCTTAGCTGATCTTCTGCAGCAGTTTGTCCTCTATCAGCTCAAACTGAACGCTGACTGACATCTCGGCGATGAACTGGTCACACCCCTCCTTGGTCACCTGTTTGCAGTAGCGCAAGTCGATGTGACAGATGCTTCCACAGCGCTTGAAATAGGTCAGCGACTGGTCGGTGACCCTGTTACAGACTGCACAGGGAGGGAGGCGCAGGGTGAGAAATCAGAAAAAGGTACAGAAGTGCTATGACATGAAGGATATCTGTGCATGTCATGTGATGACCTGATTTTAGTTTAGTTAAGACTAGATCTGTATTTAAAATGTCCATGTATTTTAAAGGTTACAAGGTTCCCCAGACCTTTAGAGGAGAAACAGGCCCACAGCATGACAGAACTTTCACCGTACGTCAAAGGTGCTTATTCACACATTGTGATAATCATTTGTTTCTAAAAAAAAACTCAATACAATTAAATCCTATTTATTTCATGTTTATTTTTGTGATGGTAGGACAAAAAAGATTACTTCCTGGCATATATTCCAAAAAACTAGCTGGTTAGAATTGCTTAATTAGAACTTGGTGATCTCAAGATGTCACTTTCTACACTTATTGATGAACTAAACTAACCAAGCAGATATGATTTAAAATAATGCCTGATTTACATCTCCTTCATCGTAAAAGTGATGTCAATAATAGTAGCTCTAGTGACTTTGTTAAGAAAATATTTCCACAGATATGAACATCACACTATTTTTATTTTACATTTTTTTCAAATGATGTTTCACATTTTTCAGAAACATTTTCAGTGGCTCAAAATGCTAAAAAATATCTTTTTTATCTCAATTATTACCAGCTGTCTGACATGTTTGCTGAACTTATGAACCTAATCTTTTAACTCACACCAGTGAACTGCACATGTGTAGAAGAGAGATTCTGGTACCTGACAGGTTGATGTCAGTGAGCGAGTCTCTGGTGGTTGTCCCTGCAGCGGTCAGGATGTTCACAGACTGGTCGGTGACATGGTTGCAGTAGCTGAGGTCCAGCTTCGATAACAGAGGCATGTAACGGATGATTAGGCACAGAGACGTGTCGGTGATGTCCAGTCCAGCCAGCCGGAGCTCCTCCACGTTACGCAGCTTACTCCGGTTATCCAGCTGACCTGGAACACGACAAAAGGAAATTCAAAATCTGAGGGAAATGATTAGGTTTGGTAACAATAGCGAGGGATATTCAGATGGTTCTGTGAAACTGATTTCTTAAGAAGTGTTGACACCTGGCCTGTTATCTGTCGGGGGCGACAGTAAGTCTCTCATCTGGGCGTCTTTCAGGCCCTCGACCCACTGAACGTCCAGCGTTCGCAGCAGAGGACAGCTGGAGGTGCACAGGGCCGAGACGGCGACCCAAGAGCAACCTGACAAGAGCAACATGCGCAAACCTGCAGGGCAAGAATTTAGAAATACATAGTTACATTTTGAACACCTCATCTTGTTTTCCTGCAGGTAGAGAAAAATACACTGCATGTTGAAGATTCGTTCTGAAGACATTGTTAGGATTTCCTCTGTAAACCAGCTCACATGCACATTAGGCAGACTCGCTGATTAACAGTGATCTATTAGGAAGAGCCAGATTATTTAAAAATTCAGTTTGTTTGTTTTTGGTACATTTTATTCCTACGCATAACTGAAGAGGTCCTGGATAGTCACTGTAAGTTTCGTCAACTTATTCTCTGCAAGTTTTGTATTGTTGATTTTATCCACGGCCTTTAAACAACAACCACATCCCTGAAGGTTTTTCACATTTTGACAACACAACTGTTACAAACACAAACTTAAATGTACACTATTTGGATTTTGAGTGTGAGATCAACATAAAACAAGGAAAAAATACACACTTTTCAAACTTCTTTATATAAATAAAATCTCAAAATTGTGATATAACCATTTACATTCTAACTTTCACTGCAATTACAACTGAAAGTGTTTTGAGGTCTTTGCCAAATTTGCACACCTGGAGACTTCACTTTTATCCATTAAAAATTCTTGGAAAAACAAGTGTTGCAGTCAGGGTGTGTTCATGATTATATGGAGTGTTTGGTTTTGACTCATCTGACCAGATTAGCTTTTTTTTTATTTATTTGCTTTGTCCTTTAATCCTAATAAAATACACTAAAGTTTGTGATAATAACGTGACAAAATGTGGAAAAATACTACTGCAACAAACTGTATGTCGGTACACTCCCTGCTATTCAGGTGTGCTCCAGGGTAGTTGGGCACATTTATGTTTATATCATTAAAAATGTTGCAGAGGTTGTTTGAGGTTTCACTGATAAAGATTATAGAGGCGCTCATGAAAGCGCACATTTCATGAATAAAATCACATTCCTGGTTCCATTTATTCGATTTTCTGAGTCTGCAAAAAGTGCTTATGCATGGTACAAAGTCAGGAGCTCCACTGATGGAGTGCAGCATTTTTGAAAGCAAAAAAGGACACAGTATGAACCATCATTTGTTTCCCCTCTTCTGCAATCTGCACAGTTTAACGAAAAAAGAGATTTGCTAACACAATGAGTAGGCCACAATTCGTCTTCAGTTCCAGACAAATATTTTATGAGCTACTGTGAGGAGTTTTGTATATACAAGTTAAACCAGGTGTGGACACCTGGTTTAACTTGTATTCATTGTTTCAACATTCATTGGCACAGCAAGTGCCGTTGGCCAGGGTTTATTTGTCGAGGGGCCTTAAAAAAATCCCATGAAAATCACATGTGCAAGTCAGATGTGATCACATGTGCCACATGAAATCCACACATGTGGTTCACATGTGAATGATGTGAATCACATGTGAAAGGACATGTAAATATGTGATTTTTGTGGTAAAATACACATGTGATTGACATTTAAATTGCATGTGCATTAAATGGGAAATTTAGAGTTTTATTTCACACCAGTTGGTTTTTTTTGTTAACTATATACTTTATATATATAGTATACAATTAGGGCCAGCAATATTTGCACAGTGACACAGGTTGTGTTATTGTAGCTGTTGACAAAAATATGTTCAGAAATACAATTTATATATAGTATGGGCTGAAAGTGCACACTCCCAGCTGCAATATGAGAGTTTCCACATCCAAATCGGAGAAAGGGTTTAGGAATCATAGCTCTGTAATGCATAGCCTCCTCTTTTTCAAGGGACCAAAAGTAATTGGACAATGGACTCCAAAGGCTGCAATTAACTCAAAAGGCCTTTCCCTCGTTAACCTGTAATCAAGTAAGTAGTTAAAAGGTCTGGGGTTGTTTCCAGGTGTGTGGTTTTGCATTTGGAAGCTGTTGCTGTGACCAGACAACATGCGGTCAAAGGAGCTCTCAATTGACGTGAAGCAGAACATTCTGAGGCTGAAAAAAAGGAAAAAATCCATCAGAGAGATAGCAGACATGCTTGGAGTAGCAAAATCAACAGTCTGGTACATTCTGAGGAAAAAGGAATTGACTGGTGAGCTGGGAACTCAAAAAGGCCTGGGCGTCCACGGAAGACAACAGTGGTGGATGATCGCCGCATACTTTCTTTGGTGAAGAAGAACCAGTTCACAACATCAACTGAAGTCCAGAACACTCTCAGAGAAGTAGGTGTATCTGTCTCTAAGTCAACAGTAAAGAGAAGACTCCATGAAAGCAAATACAAAGGGTTCACATGTAGATGCAAACCATTCATCAATTCCAAAAGTAGACAGGCCAGAGTTAAATTTGCCCAAAAACACCTCAAGAAGCCAGCCCAGTTCTGGAAAAGTATTCTATGGACAGATGAGACAAAAATCAACCTGTACCAGAATGATGGGAAGAAAAAAGTTTGGAGAAGAAAGGGAACGGCACATGATCCGAGGCACACCACATCCTCTGTAAAACATGGTGGAGGCAACGTGATGGCATGGGCATGCATGGCTTTCAATGGCACTGGGTCACTTGTGTTTATTGATGACATAACAGCAGACAAGAGTAGCCGGATGAATTCTGAAGTGTACCGGGATATACTGTCAGCCCAGATTCAGCCAAATGCTGCAAAGTTGATCGGACGGCGCTTCACAGTACAGATGGACAATGACCCCAAGCATACAGCCAAAGCTACCCAGGAGTTCATGAGAGCAAAAAGGTGGAATATTCTGCAATGGCCAAGTCAATCACCAGATCTTAACCCAATTGAGCATGCATTTCACTTGCTCAAATCCAGACTTCAGACGGAAAGACCCACTAACAAGCAAGACCTGAAGGCTGCGGCTGTAAAGGCCTGGCAAAGTATTAAGAAGGAGGAAACCCAGCGTTTGGTGATGTCCATGGGTTCCAGACTTAAGGCAGTGATTGCCTCCAAAGGATTCGCAACAAAATATTGAGAAAAAACTTTTTTGTTTGGGTTATGTTTATATGTCCAATTACTTTTGAGCTCCTAAAATGTGGAGTGTTTGTAAACAAATGTGTACAATTCCTACATTTTCTATCACATATTTTTGTTCAACCCTTTAAATTAAACGTTACAATCTGCACTTGAATTCTGTTGTAGAGGTTTCATTTCAAATCCAATGCGGTGGCATGCAGAGCCCAACTCACAAATATTGTTACTGTCCAAATATTTCTGGCCCTAACTGTATATATATTTGATTATATTTCTATAATATTTGATAAAAATAGAAATATTCAGCAAATATTTCTATTACCACATAAATATAAGTCATGCAAATCTTGTATTAAAGTTTAAGTTTATTCCTCCAGCATAACTTAACATTTATTTCACCTTAGTTTATGCACATAAAGGTGTGTGATTGACACACACCTTACCTTTACTAAGGTGTGTGTAAATTGCCCTTAATCTCTAAGGGCAATTTAGAGAAACCACCTAACCCAAGAGATTACCCAGAGAGAAAGACCGCAGGCTGGGATTCAAACTCAAGACCTTTTTGTTGGCAACAACGCTACCTGCTGCAACAAAGTGCAGCTGAAAAATATCTGAAAAACCTGAAGAGCATCTGAAAGCAATGCCTTTAAGGAGAAGGAAGGAGAAATGCAGTCTGACTTTGGTTTCATCTACAATTCTTTAAAATCACTGCAAAACATTTTTAGTATCCTTAGTCTAGTTTTTTGTGTAAATATTAGGTATTAATAACTAAAACAAGTTCCTATATCTTTCTGAAAATTAGTTAGTTGATAAGATAAAATTTGACAAATCCCTTCCTTTGATTGTCTCCTCGGGTATCTGAGGTGTGACAGCGTAGGTTCGGCTTCAGCACCCATTCTCTATTGACGCCTTCCTACTGACTGCTGTGGCATGCAGAACATGTTTTTTGAAAATCTTCTCAAAAAACATCCTTAAGTTTTATGATGAAGTCCTCTTACCAGGAAGTCTGTTGATGAGCCAGCTGAGCTGTTTTTTGGAGATGTTGGTCCAGCTGAGGTCCAGAGCTACCGGCTGCCTCCGGATGATGCCGCTCAGCATCAGAGGCGTTATCGACTTGCAGCGGTTCAGGCTGATTTGCTTCCACAGGGTTTTATCGCAGCACCTGGTTTGTGACAGGAAAGACGTGAGTTCGCTGCGCATTCCCGTTTGGAAGTTTTCAGCAGGACAGTTTGTCTCATACCCACCATCTGTTCCACGCTCTGCAGACACGCATGCAGACGCAGAGATCCCTGTGAGGGAGGTAACTGAACACTTTCATCCACGCCTCCCGACGCATTACGTGGGCTTCCCCGTCGTTCAGTGGCAGTCTGTCGGGTGGGGGACTGATGGGAGGGGGTCGAATGACGTGGCGCTCCATTTGAACGCACTTTGGAGGCGACCGGCGGGGGAGCGGACGCGGACACATCGGTGTAATCGGCACGTTTCTGTTCCAGCTAAGAGGAGAATAACCGTGCGGCGTCCCGTTGACCTCCCGACCCTTGTGTCGCAGCCAGTCACCCAGGTCGCTGCTGCCGTTGCTGAGCGGCCATCTTGGTTTCTGCTCATCCACTTCGCTCCCCGGTTCTGGTTTTACTGGGCTGTGATTCTGGTTGCCCGAGCAGTCCTCGATTTTCAGCGGCTGTCTGTGGAAGCTGGCCACACTGTCCTCCAGCTTAGGAGCTCTACGATTCTGAGTCTCTTCAGTTTTTATAGGTTTGCAGTTCTGATTGGCTATAAAATCTTCATTTTTCAATGGCCTGCGGTAATGACCGTTGTTCTCCATCTTCTCCGCGCTGTGCTTCTGGTTGCTCAGAGAATCCTCCATCTTGAGGATCTCTTGGCTCAACTCTTTGCTCGGGCCTTTGTTTGGAAGACGTCGGCGCTGAAGGCGGGCTTTGAGCGGTCCAGAGCTCTTCTCCTGGCCATCTCCTGACTCGCTGCTTGGTCCGGCTCTGGGAGAGTTGGAGGATGAGTGGTCTCCTTCTCTAGCTGAGGACGTTCTTAGCAGGGGACTCACGACTGCCTTGGTTTTATCATCTCTCTCTTTAGCTGCAGCCTCCTCTTCCTCTGAGTCTTCATCTTGGCACTCGTCGTCATACTGACTCTTCCTCTTAAAATGCATTCGGTCCAAGGATAAAATATCTTCTTCATGATCCCAGTGTCCCTCATCTTCCTCCCTGTGATCGTTCTCTGTCTTGATTTGTTGCAAAGGCTTCAGACTAAATTGATCATCTGCTTTTAAAAGCTTTTTCTAAGAAATTAGAAGAGAAAGTTACATTTTAATACAATCACAGTTAATCTTCAGCCATAAAGGACTTCCACAAATTTATATCAAACTTCATTACTTTTCCAAAATGTAAATGTCCAGATATTTTAGTAAATTTTTAATCAGTATTCACAATAAAAACTAAAGTTCACTATGGATTTACTGTTCTTTTACCCAAACGTTGCTACTTAGTTTCCTCATCTGATTAAAATAAGGATCATACACTGTCTTTCACTCACACCAGAGACATAATAGATGTTGAGTACATTTATGACCGTAATATCAAATCTAAAGAAGCGACATCCAGCCCTGCTCTGGAGGACACTCCTGCAGAAAACCCTAAGAACTTCTGATCAAATAAAATCACAAGGTGTGAAGCAGCATTAATGCTAAATGAATTTAATCATGTTTGAATAGTGAATGAAAGTGAGAAAAGAACCTTTTAAAAGTCAATATTTCTTTACATATTTTGTAGCAGTCTGTTGGTTTGCAATGTGAAGCTAATGCTGTTTGGAGAGACCAGACATGGGACATAACATCACTGTTATAATAAAGATGTTGGATTGTGTCAGCTGCAGTAGTGAAAAGTGTTACTTTACAGCTCTAGAACAAATCTATCATATAACAAAGGAGTCAATGCTTTAGAACAACCCCAGCACATTAATATCAAATATAATGTTTTAATAATAATATATGTGAAGGTCAGTAAAAATAAATAAGGGTCTTACCTTCTTTTTCAACATAATGGGTTCATCATTCGTATCAAACAGTTTCCTTTTCTTCCTTAATGGATTATCTTCAAGCCGTGTTCGCGGTAAGCTATCCAGAGCTAGCAGGGGCGGACGTTTCTTTGGAGGCTCCTCGTCGTTCTTCTTCAAGGTTACTTCCCTTTCTGCTTTTCTTTTCACAGGGGACGAGGTCGTCAGTGGGGTCACAGGTGTCGCTGCCATCACCACCGGCAGCGGCGGCGGGGGCAGCGGCTCCGGCTCCTCCTTTGAGTCTCGGTTTAAGCGCGGTTCTTTGAGAAGGGAGCCAGGAAGGTTCGATGCGTACTTGAATCCTGGCCCCCTTTTTTGCTTTGTGGCCAAAAGGTTGGAAGAAAAGAGAGGACAACTTTATTTCTCTGGCTCTGACATGTGCAGAGAAATGTAGCTGTCTTGCAAATTGATCAAATTAACATAAACGGACTCTAGTCCTCAGTGATGCTTACTTTCCCAGTTTTCCCTGCATGGTTACACTTTGGACACTCCCAACAGTTTGGCAGCTCATCATTGACTAATCCACTCGAATCTTTAACCTGCATGAAATCAGAATTCATTGTTTGACAGCTGTCCATAGCATGAAAAGGATATTATTTACGGTCTTTATATTTGACCATACTGATGATGATCAGTTTACCTTGAGACAGTTCGGATGAACAATCTCATTACAGATGGAGCACTCCATGAGCATCAGGTTGAACTTCTCCTCTTCGTCCTCTACTGTGTCCTCCTTTCCGGCTTCTCCACAGACAAGACACACTGCTGTGTGAGGCAGGACCGGCTGAGGAAACCCATACAAGTAGATAATCAGTAGATCTGTTTGTGTTAATATACGGAAATTACATTTTTGTATGTACGTTTTTGGTGACTCTTGGAATAAAAGCTTTCTGTGAAGAGTAAGGCAAGCCTAGAAACCAACCAAAAGAAGTAAGGAAGTTATGCAAATAACAGTTTAATAAAGTAGTAACAAAAATGTGGCAGAAAATAAAACATAAAGCAAACCAAACCTGGTAAAAAAAAAAAAAAAAAAAAACAAGGGTAGCATCATGTGGCTTTGTGGGAAGACGTTGTGGGCTCCCTCCCCATCAAATTGCCCACCAATCTACATATAAATGTCTGAATGTTGCAAGTGCAGCTGGGTTAATGAGACTCATGGTGTAAAAGTGGCAGGAGAGATCAAAATTGCAAGTTTAGCTTACTGTCTTCTTACAAAAAGTAGAACATCAAATAATACTGAGTTGACATAAACAATAAACATGTGAGATAAGCCTAGTTTGTTCTTTCTTTTATATTTTATTTATTAATTTTGACCATTATTTCAATCACAATTCAGACTGAACTCTGAATTCAGTCTAACTTAATCTAAAATAAAACAAAAAACTATCTTTAAAAATGATTCCATGCATTAAATAGTTTACTTGCAATGAATTTAAGCTTGTTAAACTCTTAATTAAAAGCGTTTTCCTAAAAAGTCTCTCCATTTCAAAACCTGTTTTTGAACATTCCCTGCAGCTACGTCTTTTAAACGGTGGTCTTCAACGCACACACTGTCCTGCATGTTTTAGGCATTCCCCTGCTTCAGCACACATGATTTCAGTTGATGGCTGATAACAGGGTTTTGCTGAATTGCAATCGTCTGAATGTGTTGAATCAGGGAAACATCTAAAATGTGCAGGTCAGTGAGTCGTTAGGACCGCTCTGTCCAAACCTCGGTCAGAGGTTTGGACAGTCAGAGGTTTGGACAGTCAACAGGCTGTTTGCCACCCTTGTGCTTCGCCTTAAAAAAAGTGTTGTGGTTAAGTGCACACAATTATGCATCATCAGAAAACAAACTAATGCTTTTGTTGTCTGTGGGTGATTTGGAACAATGCTGAGATAATCACAAAATCTTGTGACTCATCTCAGCCAGTCAGATCATTTGAAGTAGAGGTTCCGAGAGAAAAGCATCTCCAAAACTTGAGTTTTGGAAAAAGCTCAATTCAGGTTTCATATACACTTTCTACTCTTTTCCAGGCTCAAATCTGAAGATTTTTTCCATCTGTTTTGACCTATTTAAAATATGTAGATACAAAATGTTTTTAACGCAGATGTTTTCCTAAAGGTCTGCCTTTAAATAAGCAGGAAGAAAAGACAGATAGACTCATACAACAATGATCATAGAACAGAAAATAAAGTCTGACATATTTTTCCACTCTTAATTTCTTCCTCTATATTTACCATAGTAAGATGCATAAAATCCTGTAAATGAAATTTTATACTTTTACAGAAATTCTCAGGCTGCATACTGACCACGTTTATATAATATAAAGAGATTTTTAAAAAGCAGTGATAGATAGCTTCAAACAGCAGAACTGTGGCTGTTTGTGGTGTAATTTCACTCTAGTCTAAGAGCCTTCATAAAAACACGTGTATCCTTCAAAAGCAATAGTCAATGTCATAAATCTTTGAAAGTATTTAGTGAGTTGGAAACTAAAAAGTCTTAGAAAACTGGTCTAAGCTGCAAATATAATATATTGTATATTTCTCTGTCCTTGGTTCTGAAACATACAAACAGCACCTCACCAAACTCTCCTCAACAAGCCTTTGAGGAAGCCAGGACACAAAAATACACCTGTGAACCAACAACTACAGGTATTCTTCATATTTAATGTGCAACCTCTGCATAAAACAGTAAGCATCTGATACTGTACCAACCAGTAGCCTCTCACAACATGCTCATCCGTCTGCCTTTATCATTTCTCCGATTAACTGTTATCAGTCTTTATGCAAAAATGGGTTATTTTCCCTTGCTTATTTAACAGATATAAAGCTGCTGCCAACTGTGTCACGTCAGTCAGAGAGCTAGCGAGCCAAACATCATCTCTAAATGAAAAAGAGCGCTCCCAGCATCCTGTACTCACAGCAATGCACTGCCTCATGATGCAAGACTGCTTCATTCGCCCCGGCCCTCCAAACTTCTTCATGTCTTTACAGAAGTGGCACTCTCCGCACTCCGTCCGCAGACACGCCTCGCACTTCCGGCAACGCGTCCTTCTTCTCCTGGCACCAGACGTTCCGCGGCTGGCCGACAGCTTGACTGCCGATGCAGGAGACGCTGCCATCTTAGGTTTCGGCCGGTTGGGAGGCCGGGGCTGAAAAGGGCAAAAAAACAAAAAAATTAAGCAGTAGTTTTACTTTGGTGGTATCTGTTGGTGTTGCACTGCTCAACATGAAGCCTGCAGTGAATCATGCAAGATAAAAGTTCCAAGTTTCATCACATCAATGTAGAGATAACAAAGAAACTTTACAATTAATATCTAACTGTCTGGGTACCGTTATAAAGAATACATCATTAAGAAAATATCTTAACAGGTACAGTAAAGCCATTTAAGGTCTATGTTCCTTTACAAAAATGTTCATACTGCTTTAAGTTTTTTATGTTTGATTACTTTTAAACCAAATTCTGTATATAGACCATAAACTTATATAATTTTAAAAAGTGTTGCATGCATTTGTGTTTAATTGCTTTGACTCACTAGTTAATTGTTTTGCAACAATTTTCCACTATTAGAAATGAAGAAACTGAAATTTTTGTCTATTTAATTTGCAAAGTAGCTCAAAGATGTTCAAACTGCATGAAAAGTCTGATATCTTGCCACATATTCTCAAATAATTTGGGACTAGATACCAAACAAAATTCTGGAAAAGTTCTATTTTCTCACCTGAAATCCCAGTAAAATACATTGAAGTTTGAGGCTGTAATATTTAAAACGTGAAGAAGCTTAAGATGTGTGAAACCTTTCAGAAAGCACTGCATGACTGCAAATCTAATATTCAAATAAGATGATGTAAGTGCTGAACAGCATTTATTTCTTTTGCACTTTCCCTCTCTAGTATGATATTTCAATGTACACAGAAATAAAGGGATGATATGTATTAATATTTATCCACAGGAAACCAACCTGACCAGATGGGGCTGGTTTTAAACACATATTCCATGCCTCTTACAGGACTGAACAGAAGAACAAACAATCACATCAAAAACTGTCCCTGAAGGCACCATCCAAATTTAGCCTCTTGCTGCCTTGCATGTTTCTTCTTCAAAGAGAAGCTACACTCACAGCCACATCTCACACATGCTGCATGAGGAAGACACATTGTTCTGTCTTCCAGAGCACACAGACTGATGAAGACATGCACTCGTAATAATCCCTGCTCTATTTTAAACATCTGGCCAATGGAGATTATAAATCTTTGACCATTATTGTTCCTGTGCTGTAATTCTCCTTCTTTGGCGGCTCAGTGGTTGTTCTTTTTAATCAGAAAATCCACTCGATGCTCCCCACCATCACGCATGAGACACCGAGCAGCAGAGTGGGGGGATAAATAAATAAGAGCAAGAGGTGAAAAACACTGCAGCTATTGGAGACGAAGCCTGGATTCCTTCAGTTACATCGGCAGTGCAGATTTTCCTGGTGTCAGCATAGCAACAGCCGCGTCCCGTTCCCTAACAGAACAGTGTATGACACACACACACTTGTAACCAATGAGGACTGTAACCAGAGAGCCTCCAAGAGGGGAAAAAAAAAGTGAGTGTGGTAAATTTTGGGCACATAATGATAATTTACAGCAGCCATGAAACAGACTGACACGGACAGCCAGATATGTGGTTGGCAGACAGGATTAATGTGAAATATATTGAAGAACTAGGGGGGGTTGTACAATCTGCCCTGGAGTTTTTTAGGGGGATTAACAAGAGGGAGGGACCAGATAACCAAGCAACAGAGACCAGTTACAGTTTGACAGATACTCAGGTAGCTGTTAAGCAGCTACTTATCTAATGATCACATTAAATAAAACAGGTAATTAAACTACAAGCTCAAGAGGCAAGTCAGAAGACAGACTGATCCCTTCTTGTGTCCTGTCAGCAGAAATAGCTGATGCACAGAGAATTATTTAGATTTAGATTTTAGCAGAAAAATAATAACCATTTTTATCATCTTATTGACAAACTACAAACAAGTTATAGTTCAGTCTTTATCAGCAGCAATAAAAATACAAGAACATCTTCATAGAACACCTGTTACGATTAATGAAATGACCAAGAACTCCATGTTCATTAAGTTGAACACACACGTCAATGTAAAATAAATAATGAGAACAAACATAAAACATGTACAATTACAAGCCTAACAACAATCTTCAATGATCTTATAGCGCCAGTAGAGGTTCAAAGAAAAAAACATTGATGAAATTTTTGCAAAATTTGGGTTAGATAATAACAGTTTCAACATACACTGGAATAAACGATCAAAACTAAAGTGCTCTGACAGCAACATTTAAAACCTGTAGGTGATGCCACTAAATTCAACACAAGTTGCTCAAATTGTTCCTAAAGTTTCCGTTTCAGAGTCACCCTCTGAACAATTTTGGCCTGAAGACTACTGACTTAAAGAACATGTGTGTGTGTGTGTGTGTGTGTGTGTGTGTGTGTGTGTGTGTGTGTGTGTGTGTGTGTGTGTGTGTGTGTGTGTGTGTGTGTGTGTGTGTGTGTGTGTGTGTGTGTGTAGGGGTGTGTGTGTGTAAATGACTGGAATCAATTTTGGAAAGGTCATGTGACTTGTTCTACTTGACAGTAGAACAAGATGGACTCGTTCATCAGCGCTCAGTGTTTTGTTTCATTCAAATGCGGTCACAGATTTTAAGTGAGGGAGGAGTGTGGCGCTGAGGTGAGCAGTGGAGTAGGAAAATTATTTACATCAACAAAAATTTGCAAGCAAGTTCTTTCACAGATCCAGCTACCACTTACACCCATGTAAAAGGTTGCAATAATCTAACACATGTTGGAATATTAACAGAGTTCAATATTTTCACAGCCAAGCCACTAAATCCGAAATGAATCAGCATCACAAGGCAACCGCCAAAAAATGTTAGCAGCAAAAAAAAAACACCAATTATCTTCTCCGCATTAAACACACAAATAAGAAAACTATAAAGAAGGTTCCAATCAAAGACTGAGCACAGAGGGCAGACTGAATCCACGCTTTTGTCTCAAACAAGCTCAATTTCCCCACTGCTCTGTGATGTTGCACACAAGCGTAAACACAAAACATTCCTCCAGTTGGCTCGGTGTGCCTGCCTGCCTGCCTGCCTGCCTGCCTGCCTGCCTGCAGGGCGTCGGTGTGCTAACCTGCTCAGAGTCTGAGTCGTAGTCCTCATCATCAGCGCTCAGCGACATGGCCATGGCTTGTTTTCAGATGCCGTCCAGCTCATAGCAAACTGACATGGCTGCAGTCTCCTCCTCCTCCTCCTCCTTCTACTCCTGCTACTGCTGTCAGGCCTACAGCCCTCCCTTCTGCTCTAAAGCTTCACAATACCACAAGCAGATGTAGGAAGCACACACACACACACTCACGTACACAATTCTCCCTCATTAATATGGATCTGCTCCATGGAAGCAAATGGGTGTAGCTGCAACGCGCCGAGCCAATGGGAGGCGGCTGAGCATCAGAATATGAACCGGGGGTGTACGCATCGGTCCAATGAGAAAAAAGGAAGCGGTAAAAGTGTTGTCATATTCATTCTGCGCATCATAAGGAGAGAAGAGCAGGCTTGTGCACCACCAGTAGAGCCAGATGGCATCTCATTACAAAAGGCAAACACAAAGAGGCCCCGGGACCAGCAGCTGGCCTTTCAAGGGACAGCAAGAGGGTGGCGGGGTGATCCAGAGGCTTGATGAGACCAGCAGTAACTTTATGACCAAATATTCAGATGACAATTATCTCGAGATGCATAAATAATACTTTCCCAAGCAGCTTAAGGTCTGATCTGCCAACTACTGTTCAAAACAAGTCCCTGCATAAGCTTTTATTCTTGTAGGTAATTTTCCTATAAAGTTTTCTGATAAGAAATGAAGACAATATGACATTGTTATTGTTAAGGTAAATGTAGAGGTTGTTTTGTTTTTACATATCATAGATTAACATAAATTAATTACACATTAGACAAGTAGTATGATGCACATAGTGCTACTTTATAGCACAATAAAGTAACTATGCTACCTTCAGTTGTTATAAAAAAACACAGTATATACTAAACTTGACTTAAGAGAAATTTAATGTTGTAATTTGATGTCTAGAAATTTGCCACTGTCTTTTTCAGAAGTGTCTGTTTTTAAGACAGTGTATTTCTGACACTCCGCCTTCAACACGTCATCACAACAATGCTCCTCATTTCGGCATTTACAAAGCTGAACGAGATTTGGTCACATTCTCCAACAGGCAACGACAGCTGGCAATGGCTGCATCACCACCGTCCACTTTAAGAGCTTTTCATCATGCTTTTTATTGAAAATAATCTCAGTTTCCCATTTACTTGCAGATTCTGCTAAACTTCCCTTCAATTTGGACATCACCAAAATCATCCTGTCAGAAATTGCCTGCCTTGTGTGGGACCTGCAGTGTTCAAAGTGCCTTCAGGATTTTAAAGGACTCGAATTGAGATGTCCAGCATGCAGAACTCAGAGGAGGAAAAACATGTTTATTCCCAAATTTAAGAGCAGTAATAAATGCTTTTGTAATCTTCTGTAGACTATTAACCTTATTGCAACATAAATATGACTGATCAGTTCTGACTGGCTGTCCTACACTTAGTAAAAATCCATGTAAAACACCAAACCTAGGAATAACGTAAAATACAAAGGTTTTTTTTTTTCCTTTTGAGAACCAGCCACAGGTTTATAACCACATATTTAATTGTATTCTAATTGGGGTATCCTACAAAACTACAAAAACTGAAGATCAAATCTTTTCCATTAAATTTAGAACCACAAAACTTCCAATTATTATCTTCATTTAGCCATTATCTTAGAAAAAAGTCAGATGAACATCAGAACTTAAAATGTCCCACAGCTAAACATTTTTCAAAACATCATAAACTCCCACTTTCCAAAGTTCATCGTCCTGCAGCTCATTTGTCTGTAAAAGAGGGCTGAAACAATGTTATAGAAAACTAACTCTCTACAAAATGTGTTGGGTTTTTTTTTTTTTTTTTGCTTACCTTTAACACTTTCTTAGGCCATAACACAACAGGAACCCCGGTGATTGCTAATTTTGGGTCATCATCAGCATGCTCCTTCAGGACAACCTAAACAGCCAAAGAGAAAAACAAACAGTTTTATGTCTACTCCTGTACCTGTTTCAGGTTGTTTTGTGTTTGTTTTTTTTCTACCTTCATGTCCTCTAGGAGGGCCTGAGGGCTCTCTATTCCCACTGGAACACATTTCTTATTCTCAGGGAGTGATTCCAGTTTCTCCACCAGTGTCCTGAGCCCGATCAGCTCATGCTGTGTCAGGTGAGTCCACTTGCTCTGAGCCTCAGAACCTGGAGAATCCTCGGGGGTTTTGGGGAAGTCTAGAGAGGCGGAGCAAGGATTACAGCTGTCTTCCGAGTCCACAGATAAAGCAGCTTTGAGCAGAGAGCCCTTGATGATGTCAGGCGAGCAAGGGCCATCTCCAGAGGATCTTTCAGTTTTTTCTCCGTGGCCATCCCTAACTGGAGGTCCACAGGAGTCCTCATTCATGTCCTGGCTCCTGGAGTCTGAAGACGGGCTCTCTGTTTTTATCTTTGTCTCATAGTCTAGAAGTGAACAGAGGTAATAATACCGCTTGTTGAGAACGTGTCAAACTTCACTAAAAATGAGACAGGTTTGTTTTTACTTCACCTTGCAAAGATGTTTCCCACCTCCACAACTAAATCTTTCAGATAATTGTCAAATATAAAGAAAAGCTATGGGTTTTCCCTTGTTGATTTAATTTATTAAGGAAAATAATTATTCTATGTGGCAATAACTGTGACAGCAATTTATTTCAAAACCAAAATAAAGTCAACTTGAGGCAACAAATTCAAGGCAGAATGACATAATATTCTCTCTTTTAATTAAAATCAAACTCCAACTTGATGCAGAGCCTCTTTCCTACAGGATTTCCTGATTGGTGGATTCCACTTTACAAAATGAGAAAAAGTCCAGTTGCTAGTTTTCAGTCTGTGTGATAAAAATCCTTCAAACAGGTTGGAGTTTTCAATTCCAGCTTTCTTTATATAGTCTATGAAAATCATGCTTTTAGCAGTTTATGTATGATTCAATGACAAATCATTGAATCATATGTTTTGTATTTTTGTATTTCTTTGGTGTAGTAATTGATCGTTCTTACCGACAGATTCTTTGTGGATCTCGTGAGTAAAGTAGGACCTTTTGGTCAGACAGTGCAGGTATCGCTCCAGGACGTACCAGCACATCTCGTAGTAAAATGGGAAGCGGAATTTGGAATGAACCTGAGGAGAGGAAAAAGAAATTTATACTTACGTAAACTCAGACTGGCTCTACACTGGGAACATTTTACAAAATCGCTTTTTTTTTGTGAAGGTTATCAGATATGTGAGATACAAATTTGGTTTCTATACATGGACATGTATATAAATAACATAATATGTTGCATCCTGATACAGGAGGCAGAACAGCTCTTGAGGAATTTGGGTTAAAGTCTTCATGTGATTTCTTTTCTTGAGTGCTTGGAGTTATTCTGTTTAAATTTCTTGTGGAGAAGCTAATAAACAGGAGACAGCCGTTCTTTTTTGCAGTTTAAAATAAGCTCAAAATGTTTCTTTTCACTGAGATTAATCTATTGCAGAGTTTCTTGTGCAGGTCGGTGTATTGCCAGGCTTTCCAGCATGAAGACTCCTACCTTTGTCCTGTTTTCTATCTCGTGGATCGTGAACTGCATGGGGATGTTAAAGCTGTGCAGAATGTTGCCTCCAAAAACTAGTGTGTCTACAGGAGTGTAAACAGCATGGATCCAACCTTAAATTGCAAAAAAAATAAATAAATAATAATAATAATCAAAACAATAAGGAAGGCAACATTTGTCCAAACTCATGATTGAATAGTCAGGGTTGCTACAACATTTTTTTTACAAAAGGCATTCTTTTCCAAACTCCCAAAATTTCCAAATAACTCACTCTTTGTTGCCAGTTTTAAACTACATATACACAATTTACCATTTTACAGTGGTCAGGCTTTACATATGTAAACTGCAAACACCGAGACTCTAAGGATTCACTACTATTCAAATGAAATCCCAGACTTTTAAAGACTTCTCCAACTTCCATAGGAACTCTGCATTTACTGCAAATTAACCGTGAAAGGCTTTGTGTCCTTCTTAATTCATCTGGTATCTAACCTGTTCCTGTTGCCTCCTTAAAAACGACTAAATTATAATTTAGAATAACTAAATTATTCTCACCAGATGGGATGAAGAAGGTGTATCCTTGTTTCAACTCCACTCTCTGGCACCCATCAGCTCGGTCTCCCAGGAAGACGTCACTCTGCTTGCCTGAAAGGACCCAGTCCTCATACAGTGCAAGGTTATGTGGGGTTGGAGGCACAAGCCAGAATACCTGACAAAAAGAAGTGTTGTTACAGGGGGCTTTTATTGCAATGTTAAAAAAAAAAACCTGGGTCTACCATTTATTAAACCATATGAAGCAAAATCTTAGTTTAAGTATGAGTATAATATAGTTTAGGTAGAAAGATAAAACACAAACATACTTTTTGCCCCTTGAATACATGATACCAAACTGAAGTTCCTCCGAAATCAACGTGAAAGTCTGTGTAGCAGCCCTTTACACTCATCAAACAGTACCTGAAAACAAAATGAGATCATACTTCATTCCATGAAAAAAAATATCATTAAAAATGAGATAAATATTAACCATTTAGAAGATGGCTGCAAAAACAGTTACACTTGGAAAAAAAACACATTCATTCCAATTATAAGAAACTAACCAGGAGGACAACAGTAAAGAAAATACTTTACAGTATTTACAACTTTAGTAAAGTTTTACCTTTGCACTTTGGGGTATTTCATCTCTGAAATAATGTTGGTGGCTTCTGTTTGGCTGTGCTTTAGATCAGGAGGCCACATGTTATCCACCCAGTCAACCTGATCCACCTGTAAAAACAATTAAAACTGAATGTTTATGCTCCAGTGAAAAGTTTTCAGTCAACTTCACAGAGGTTTCTGAACGCCTATGAAAATGTTCACAATATCACTATGCATTCTCTACCACTGTGGGCCTTTTGATGAGATGCTCCAGCTTAGTGTGGCTGAACTCTAAGCTGATGACGTTAAAGAGTTTGTCTCGCTCTTCCTCCGGGGTCTCGTAATAACGGACGAACTGAGCCATGCTCATTTCCGAGCCTTTTTGAGTGCTCACGTCCATGACATCCACAGACCTGCGACTGCCTGCAACAAAACAGGTCAAATCAACTGATCATTGGCTTGACTACAAAAGCTCCAAATTGTGGTATTACACATGATATTATACCACAAAGGTCATTTTCTTACAATCTGGGCAAAAATCTTTTACGTTTTCTTATTTTGATTATTGAAAGTTTACAGTAAAGCTGCAATTTTGGAACAGAATTAAGCCAATTCTCATTTTCAATGATACTGCTAATTTATCATTATCATTTCTACAGCTTTTATTGTGGTAGTTTGTTCTCACTCTTTCGACTTAAAGATATTTTCTCAGTGATGGAAAATCCCAAATTAAAGAGCAATTACTTTTAACAAAATGCTCATGGCCTTAACATCTCATATAAATGAACAAATAGGTTTTGTTCATTTATATTTTAGATTTTTAATTTGATAATAGCATCTAAACATTTTTATTTTGACTTCAGATTTTCCAGGAGTACATATGATGTGACTTCAATGAGCCACTCTTCAAAAATGGGAAACAGAAGAAAACACACCAATTCAGGACAAGCAAGGATGTCTTGCAGCTATAATCTAGCATGTAGTTGATATCCTTAATTTGCATGTATATAGCTAGTATAATTAATATTTAAAAAGTCAAGAGCAACTTTAACTGGAACAAACAAGACTGCATCCTGAGAATAATGATGAAACAGGTCACTGTGAAAAAACTTTTTTGTCAGAGTGAGATTAGGCAATTGGGGGGAAAAAACTTAAAGTAATTAACATTTCTGTACATCTTTACTATAGGGGCAAGAAAATGTTGAGAGTACTGAAAATCTCCACCGATTTGAATAACTTCAGGGACTCCTCAAAGTGTCATTCACATGAATTCCCTCTAGAGGGGGCTGATTTATTCCGAATGAAAGTAATAATGAACAGTACTTGTAAGTAAAGATAAAAACTAAAAAGAGAATGGCAAAAAAATTAAATATCACAATCATAGCAGTAAGGGGGAATTGTTCTATAGAATATCACAGTACAGAGACCTGCATAAGTTTTCATCTCAGTGTTTTACTTAAAAATTGTATACACATATTTCCACAATTTTCATTAAAATATATCAATGTCTTTTACACCAATAATTTCATGCAACAACATTTTTTACAAGCAAGTGAGCTTTTTGTTTAGTTTAAAAATATATATATTTGACATATCTGTGAATTCTGTATAAATATGTTGGTATTAGTGGCAGTCTGCTTACCAACTAATCCCTTTATTTCACTGACTGTGAATTCTGAGTCAGGCATTCTGCAAAGAAAAACAAAAAACATGGTAAAAATTAGAAAAACAGATCTTATCACAGAAACATATCTGACAATGAGACAGAATATAGATCTTCACTTCTATACTGTAGCAGTCCTTTCAAAAGAAATAAGCATAAGAACACAAATATTCAATAATGCTGCCGAGATTTGGTTTGTTTTTAAACTGCAAATATCTGCAAAACTACAAATGCAAATATAAACATATCTCAGTCTTAGTTGTTTTAAAAGGCTCTGTTTGCATTTAATGAGTCATGTTACTTCAATTTGAACAACTTTAAATAATTACTGCAAGGGTATTGTGGTCCAGTTAACAATAGTTTAAACACTTTAAGAGAAAGCAAAAAAAACCTCAGTAGTAACAAAATTGGTGTTTTGTGTAGAAAACCTCTTACCTGATCCCTAATTCATTTTTCTCTTTAAAAATAAGTGGTATCCTGAGGGCCTCCCTTTGCACATACTCATAAGTAAAGTCTGCAAGACAGGGGGAAATCATGTTGCTATCTCTTCATATATTTGTTGATGTAAAGACAATATTTTGCCAGTCAAATTGTCATTTACTTTGTTGCAAGTGTATAATGAAGTTGCACGACGTGATTTTTACCTCTGCCCTCCATTAAGTGCACAAACTCTGAATTATAGCAGTCACTGGCGAGCTTTTCCTCCACGCTGAAGCCTCTGATGTTTACTATTTCTTCAACGTCAGACAGATCCTCGTTCTCGTCGTACATCCTCCGGCAGATGGAGCGCTGCCATTAAAAAAATGCCATTATTTACATGACAAAAACAAGAGACACGCGTGGACAGCCCACTGGCTACCCCCGAAAAGGCCCACGCTTCTCCACAGATGGTCACTAAAGAAGAGTAAAGAGTCACTGAACGTTCATTTGGTGTCCAACTTTAAAGCGTGAAATATTTCGGTTTCTGCAGGGCCACTTCCGTTACCATAGCAGCACAATCGCAAAATGTGACTTCTCGCGCTTTAGTGACGCTTATCGAAAGGAGCTGCTGGTTGATAACTAATTGTTTCCAGTCTTTAACAATTTGCCTCATTTGTGTTTTCAAACGCTTGGCGAGTGCCACGCAAATAAAATAAGTTACAGTCTCCGCGACTCGGCATTCGCCGTTCTTCTCATTGTTTCCCTCAAACTTTACCAGCTTCCATGACATGACAAATACCCCCCAATGTTTTCAGTCGCGAACGTTAGCTAAGCTAACGCAGTCCGTCTTCCTACAAGCTAACGTTAACGCGGCGGATGCTACACACCAGCCTCCGTCCAGGTTCAGCACGCGTCTCCCCGGACTGGGCCATCGTCTCTTCGGGTCGTTTTCCAGCCTCTCAGTTTCGGGGAAGCATCCTCGTGCGTAGTAAAGTTAAGGAGGCACTTCGCAGCCTTTACGCTTCAAAACAAGGGAACCATGTTTTTGTGTCTTACGTCATGGTCAGGAACCAAAACATTGTTGGACAACGTCATGGCATGTCACTCCGCCGCTTTTTACACACATTCATTACATAACATCGGCTTGCAACGCATTAAAGCGACTCATTAAATACACGGACTTTAAGATGATTTTAAAACGTTTTCCAGACATAGATGAGTAGAACTGCAGGCACCTGAATAAAAAAATATTGGTTTTTATCAAATTAGAGGATGATAATAAAACATTTTGTTCTAAATAAGGCTGCCATATCAGGAAATATACTACTAACATTTTGTAATAATTTAAATGCCTTTTTTAACTCGGTTTTCTTTAAGATTAATAAGATATTTTTATGATGTAAAGCACTTTGAAATGCCTTGCTGCTGAGATATGCTATGCAAATAAAATTTGATTTGATTTGATATTACTGAATCTGAAATCATTACATTTCTGATTTTGGTCTGCATCTCTTTAGTTTTGTTTTACTTCAAACTAACATGTCCCAAATCCTCTATGAAAGAACATAGTGTAAGATATTTGCTTTGCAAATTTGTAATAGTGCATTTGTGACTACATAGATCCTCATTTCCATACCACACAGCACCTGCAATGCCAAAACAAAATCAATCTAGTTTTATGTTTCACCTCAACAAAGTTTTAGCAATTTATAGGTGTGGGAAACCTGACTTTGAGGCACAATTTTCTTTTATTTTTCAAATTTCTAAGCTTTTCATCTTTCACAGCTACTCTTAAGCCTTTATATGATGTTTATTGCTAACTTTTTCCTCCACAAATGCAGCTCAAAGTGATGTGTTTACAATGACTGAACAGACTTGATGTACCAACTCCTTTTTGTGAACATTAGGAGTTGACTCCTGTCTGAGAGCTGCTTTATTTTTTTATTAATATGTGTTTATTTCATATGCACAACAGAATGTTGACCGAAACAACAGACTCCTTCTCATTATTCTGACACGCTGAAATTACGTGCCACTAGAAACTAGTATCATATAATTTTGTCGTGTTGCTGTTTGTTGAGTTTAATGTTTAGATGTTTTAATCTAACACTAAACTTTTCACATTTCTCCAGCATCCAGCATATTGCGAAAGTCGAAATTTTTAGTTTGATACTTTAGACTGGCTTTTCACTCTACAAATGCATGTCTGCACATGTCCACAAATACAACATAAGTTCAATTTGTGAATTTTGTTCAAACTCTTGAATGACGTTTGCTTCACAATTTCCTTAAGGTAATTGTCCGAATTACCACACTATTTCCTTCCACTAAACTTTACAGTAAGAATGTAGTACTCTGCAAACAACTAGTTTGCTTAGCAACTAGATTTTGTAGCTCATCCTTGGTGTCAATGTGGAGACTGGCATTATGACAATATTGCAGTTTTCTGGGAAACTAAACTTGTGGTTTCATTTACTTTCAGTCAAAATCATTGAAATCTTTTTTCATCAGATATTATTTTTCAAGTGATTTAAAAATAATTTAAATCACTTAAATCATTTTAATTTAAGTGATTAAATAATAATATTCTATACCATATTCTCATTTACTGAGGTTTTTAAGTTCAGAGATGTTGATCAAATGATTTTCATTAATTGAGCCAAAAGATTCGGATCTCGGAAAGATTCGAAATTCCCATCACTATTTACTTGCGGATGTTGCCCTCGTCGCGCGTAGACTTGTGGGTAATTTAAGGTGCAAAGCAGATCAACACGCTGAAGGAAGACTGTGGGTGGAAAAAAAAATAGCTTCCGCAGTTACAGTCAGCCGACGAGCCTAAATGCTTCCTGTGGGGACGTAGTTGTGCACCGCTTTTAGTTTTGTGGCGCAAGGTTCCCCAAACAGTTGCGCCGCTCGGCCGGTGTTGTGATAATTAGCGCAACATGAGTCTGAACGAGCATTCACTGCAAGCCCTGTCCTGGAGGAAGCTGTACCTCAGTCGAGCCAAACTGAAAGCTTCAAGTCGGACATCAGCTTTGCTCTCCGGATTCGCCATGGTAAAACCGACTTCTTGTATTCATTTCTAGTCCCCTGCAGATGAACTCATCGCATGGCATTTTGTTTGTCCTCTCCTGTCAGGTCGCGATGGTGGAAGTGCAGCTCGACAACAAGTATCCATACCCACCTGCTCTCCTCATCGCCTTCAGTGCTTGCACCACCGTGCTAGTTGCAGTTCACCTGTTTGCTCTGATGGTCAGCACCTGCATTCTGCCCAACATAGAGGCGGTCAGCAACGTGCACAACCTCAACTCCGTGAAGGAGTCTCCACACGAGCGGATGCACAGACACATTGAGCTGGCGTGGGCTTTTTCAACTGTGATTGGGACTTTGCTCTTCCTCGCTGAGGTTGTTCTGCTCTGCTGGGTCAAATTTCTGCCCATTAAGCCCGACCAATCCAACAATAGCACCATCTCCTCTGGTGTGGCTGCTGCTATTACCTCAACATCTATTATGGTCCCGTTTGGTTTGATCTTCATAGTCTTTGCTGTGCATTTTTATCGCTCACTGGTCAGCCACAAGACTGACAGACAGTTCCAGGAGCTGGAGGAGCTGTCTAACCTCACCAGGCTTCAAAACGAGCTCGACAACAGAGGGGAGTCCTCAATCTTACAATCGCCAAGTTCCCAGTTTCCATAGACAAATACCCCGATCTGTTTTGGAACTTCCTGAGAGGGCAGACATTTAGGATTTACATTTTTGCAAGAAAGATCTTTCACCATTTGAAAGTTTTACTTTTTATTTTTTAAACACATTTTATCTTACTGTGATCTCATGAATGCGCCATGATGCATGTAGCTGGAAATCACAAAGTTCTTAATGGGATTGTAGCCTAATATTACCACTGGTTATCAGAGATCCACCCATAATTTGTTTCCTGGTTAAAACCTTTATCTGATTTTTTTTTTTTTTTTAATATGTATTTTGAAGTTTGACCTGCTGAGAAATTACACGTCGTACATGTTTTTGGTTTATGTGTTTCTAGACCAATTTGCTTGATAACAGCTCCACTCATTGTGTCAAACATATCATGCCTGGACTTATTTCTGCTGCGTTTATTTAAAATTTAGTAAAAAGCACATTATATTTATCAGTTATTGCACATCTGTGTTTTGTGAAACACAGCCTTTTAACTTTTTGTGTATTTAAAGAAATCTACTGTCCTGGTTGTTTTGAACAGTTTGCTGTATGTGTTGACTAATAAGCTGCCAACATTACAGTATTAATAGAGTGCTGACATGTGTTTTAATAAACACTTTTTAACTAAATGGGACTTGGAAGTGCTGATGTCCAACACATGTCATCTTTGATTTTTATCCTTGTAAATTACAGCTTATCAAAACATAAAAGTCAAGATACCTGCATTTAAACAAAGCAATCATTTGTGTGACCATAGTTTATTTCTATACTTTTGGTTTTATTACACATTCTATCATCATCCTGGACATCATGCAACTTTTACTATACATTCACTACAGATCTGCAGGGATCATTAGTGTTTATTCTCACTTGACTGTTTTGTTTTCAACAGTTAAATAAATCTGTTTTTAATGAATTATTACTTATGTTAGACTATCGAGATACTTGTAAGTGTAAGGATGTCAGTGACTGGACATGTGGGTATGGAGACCCACCTTTTTGAGGCTTAGTAAATTTAATTGAACACATTATGGCATCTGAAGACAACAAATAAGCAAATCAAATGACCCATTGTCGACACTTGCTGATCTTTGAAGGATCATATCTCCAGCAGCCATTGGGCAAGAGTGGGCATACTGGACAGCTCACCTGTTCATTGGAGGGCAACACTCACACATTCATACCTAAAGACAATTTAGAGAATCCAATTAACCTAAAAGTCATGTTATAGGACTGTGGAAGGTATATTTGCACAAGAAGTACATGCAAACTCCACAATGAAAGACCTCTGTCTTCTTTCATGTTATAAATTATAATAGTAACACCTGTGTCATTAATTAATGATCAAAAAACTGGAAACTCAATGAAAACTATGACTGAGAGAAATTCATCAATGAATGGCGTCGTTTTATTGGCTTCTTGGCAACTGGATAAAGTAGGAACTTGCCATTTTTCCTCCTGCTCTTCAATAGTGACTTTGGCAAGCTGCTCTAGCGTCCCGTAAAACCAACTCCATGTCCACCAGTTTAATCTTGGAAAAAGAACAGATACATATCAATCCTTGTCACTTAACTGAATACTTTAATGTGTTTTTCCACATTTTCCAGAAACCAGTGTAGTTTTCTGGGGCCAGTCGTTGACCCTCCACTGTTTTGACTACAATTACCAGCATAAAAACGATTACAGTGGTCAAATCTTACCCCAGAAAGCTGCCTTGGTGTAGGCTTTTAATATGACCCTCGTGATTTGAAGAGGGAAGGTGTGAAGCTTTTCTGATTTGTTCACTTTGATTAGCATAATGTTTTAATGTTTTGCTCATTTTCCAGCGTACAAATAAAACCAATCATAATGCCAAAAGAATTTTGACAGGTTTCAAATTTTAAAGAAAGAAGCCACACCACTGCTTCATATGCAGCATTTTTTAGGTTTAGTGCTTTGGCTTATTTCCCCAAAGATATGTATATCTTATACATCTCAGAGTTTGAAGGGATTTGGGTTTCACTTTGTAGTGTGACTGCTGTGAGAAAAAAAAAAAGAAATAAATTGGGGCCGTGGAACCAGGTTTAAGGCCCAAATTGAGCTCATATTTGAATAACTGATCAAGGGTTCTGGGTAATTTAATTCTAGGAGTTATAGGTTCATAGAGGCAGCATGTGTTCTGTTTGCCTGATAAAATGAGTGTGGAAGTGAACGGGTTGCATAACTGTAGTCACATACCTCTGGAAACGGGAACTCAGGTGGTGATGGCGCTGATTCCCTTCCAACATCTACAAGTGTCCCACATTTTGCTATCCCGTCCACCCAAAAGCCTTCATAAAGCAGGCCTTTGTCAGAGTAATAGAACTTTCCATCACCGTTCCTCTTCCCATCTCGCCACGAGCCCTCATACCAGTTTCCATTGGCTGCAGGAGAAATTAGTAAAAAAATAAAAAATAATCACAATTAGACATATTGCAGCCCAAATGTTTTTCATTTTCAATGATGGGAAGAAACATTCTCTTACAAAATCTAATGATTCCTTGACCGTGATTCTTATGGTTCAGCCATTCTCCTTCATACACGTCTCCGTTTTCGTAGTACATTCTTCCCCAGCCGTTGTGTTGGTCGTCTGCCCACTCCCCCTCATACACTGCTGAGTTGTCAAAGAAGTATGTCCCATATCCCTAAACAGATAGAAAAATACATGTCACTGTCTGGGTAGGAAGATATATGAAGATATATGAAGACAATAAATAAAGCATACATGCTTCTTTCCATTTTTCCATTGACCACAATACTTCCTTGTGTACTCCTTTCTTTCTGGGACTTGTACACTGTAGGTGCCATAACCATCACGTTTTCCGTATTTCCACTCCCCATGATAAATGGCACCAGCTTTCTTCCAAACCTGAATTCCGTTGCCTTGACAAAGTTTTCAAAAAGTCATCTAAAATTTCATCTTCCAGAGTATTTGGTTTAATATTGGCTAACTTAATATTGGTAAATAAAAAGTGTTTTCTAACCATGCTTCTTGTTGTCCAGCCACTCTCCAGTATATTCATTTCCACAGACAGAATAAACTGTGTGCCGCAGTCCACATTTCTGGGAATCTTTATCCTTCTGTACTGAAGGTGGAAGAGTTTTCTTAAATGGTTTATAAATTGGCATGACTGGAAGGATGTGGTGAAAATCCTGTGAGGAGAAATAAAATATTTTAAACATTTAAGATGGTATGTTCACTCACTGCCCAATGATTTCCAGAGTAAGTGTTTTTGCTTTTTAAAATGATCATCAGATTCATCTGAAGTTTATGCGCTGCACAGAAAAGTTTCAAAAACAATGGGATGCCACAGGGTTTTCTTACACTGGTGACTCAGTGAAAAGGATAATTCAGAGTTTTTGTGAAGTTCTCTTGAATTGAAATATATTGAAACCTTCAGAGCACTGAAATCTTTACAGCTCGTTACCTGAGACACAGTGCTAAATTAGCAATAACAATACAGATTTTACAACAGAATGTTATTAGGTCTGCTGCAGTTGTCTCAGCCAAGCAACATCTATGTTACAACTCCAAAGAATACCAATCCACCTGAGCATTTAACAACACTGTTGTGAAAAAGTACATTTATATGTGCAAAAATCAGCTAAAATAGAGGCCCATATGACCTACCAAATCAGTCAACTGGGGTAATTTCTACAGTTAAAAATAACATAAAAATTACAGCTGGAAACAAAATCCATAAGTACATAGTCTACATAGTCTACTATGTAGAATAGAGAGGAGAATCACAGCTGAAGAAACCATTAATACAGGCGGCAACTTCAACCAATGTGACTTTAGTGTAGTGACACAGAAGATGTACAGAAGAGAAAACAACCACAAACTTAACATTCTCGTGAAAAAATAAATGTATAAGTGCAAAACTCAGCTAAAACAGAGGCCCATATGACTAGCGGTTAAGTGTCACAGCTCTGAGGATTTATTTGGTGTCCTACAAACTTGCTGGAGTATAAACTTTTTTCCAACAAAGTGGGGGGAACTTTTACTGATAATAACTTCACAGAACTCCACTTAAAAATATCTGAACTATCCCTTTAAAATCTGTACATCAAAATCAATAATGAATTTATGTAACATTATTTTTTTGTGTGCAATTCTCTTGAGATTTTGTTTAAAAAATATATTAGTTATTTTCATTGTTGACTATTTGTTATTACAGAACATTCTATGAACATGCAGCAAAAAATGAGCAAAATGACCAACCCTTCAGATTACTACTGCCCTGGTTTTCATTACTGAATAACGTCATCAAGCAACATGGGCCTTATCGTTTTATCAAAAACAATATGATCAGAGAAAATTTAAGTCACATTAGATTATAACTAAATATTTTTTCTTATGTACATAATTAAATCTGGACAGTTAATGCGATATGTTGGGACACATGTACTTAAAACATACATTACTGTGAAACACCATCCAGAAATTTTAAGTTAGATAAAAGTATTTTGTACCTTGGCAGTGTATCCAAGCGGATGACTTAAATGCACTCAACCCGCTTGGAGAAATCAAGAAAACACAAGCTAAAAAAATTAACTTTTCCGCAGCACAAAAACTGTTTGGTGTATCATAGCAACAGTAAAGAGCTCTGTGATTGGTGGATGACGAATTTATCAAAACCCTAAATTAAAATGACTTGTAATTAAACCCGTCAGTTATCTTCCAATATCTTGACAACTTTAATAAAAAATACGGAAGTGTTTGTTGACTTTAGCGGGTTCAGCCCAGGTTCAGCGACACCGCTTCGTCTTTGGGTGTGCGCATGCGCTCTGCGGCACAATTAAAACACGGAGAAGCAGTCTTTGGGAGCAGTGAGGACGAGCCAGTCGGAGTGGAACCTGGTGGAAGTGTCTTATGCGTCACGTTTCGTTCTGCCACAATGTCCAAACCCACTTTTGAGGCAGAATGGGACGAAATAGAAAAGGAATACCAACAATTACAGGTAAGCAGAATGGCTGAATCGAGTGTTTTTCATGTGTAGAGGGTGTTACTGACAGACACTGTAACGGGGCTTTGGCACTTTAGTTCTTTGCTCTTCGCCATTCATTCTCGGCTCAGACTTAAACGCTGTATTTAGTCTTCGCTCCTCCTGCATGTCGCTCCAAATAAGCTAGGAACTTATTTAACTGTGACTTTATTTCCTCTGACTGTAGAGCAACATCCTGGTGTTGTCGGAGCTAGCATTAGCTGCAGGTTACTGGATATTTCCCCTGCCGCTAAAGAAGAGCTATAGTCCAGCTAAAGCCTTCAGTCTGACATGCTATGCTGCTGTTGGTTACACAATTGCTACCAAAGTTACGTAAAGGTAGTGCAATGTGTTGTTTTTGCATTGGTAAACTCTTAATAGCCTCTTACTCCGACCCTCGGTCACTAGTTATCAGGCTAGCTCACCTTTGCTACAGTTGGCTAACTTGAAACAACTCCTGAACAGACAGACGATGCCAGTGCAGCGAGGCATCATAAGCAAGTTAACTTTAGACGTGTATCTGCAATGCCTTGGAAGCTGGAAATCTAGAGCTGCTCTGCAGGGAAGGAAATTGTGGTGGTGATGGTCAGCTGTTCAGGGATTTCCAAGATGAATGCTACTGCTAAGTATTCTTCTTTCAGTGTATTGTAGTCTTGAATAAACTTGTTCAGGTGCATGATCAGCAGAAAACGCATTAAAAAAAATTAACACACAACACTGCTTTTAAATAAATGAACACTTTTTGCTTAAAAGGTCCCATCGTTATTCCCTTACCGTATGTCAAACTTGTTGAATTGGAAACCTGTGTGCTTTTCAATTCAAAAATGCTTTATTGATCCCAAAGGGAAATTAAATGTTGCATGTCTTATTAATTTAAATTCTTCAAATATTTATTGTGGATAGTAATGGACCAAGGCAAGAAAGATCAGCTGTAGCAGTCTGTATCAGAGGGAATTTGAAGAAGCCTCTGACTGAAGACATTGTGTCTTCCTAAGACAGTCTCAGAGGATGGTCAGGGTTGTCCATAATGTTCTTGAGTTTATGCAAAATATTTATTTACAATATCATCTCAAGAGTTTTTACACTACAGAACCAGCCTGCTTTATCAGATTGTTGAGCATTTTTAGATTCCTGGTTCTGATGCTACTGCCCCAAAAGATGGTGGCAGAACAGATGATGCTTTCACCAACAGAATCGTAGCTTCCTCAACAAGAACAATCTACTCTGACCCTTCTTATTTGTCAACCACCTCCACTCCTTCCTTGATGGAAATATGGTTTGATCTAACCCTGTTTCTTCTGAAATATACAATCATCTCTTGTTTTGTTCACATTCAAGATAAGGTGATTGTTCCCATATCATGCCACAAAGTGCCACCAGCTTTCTCTACTCGGATTCTTGTCCATCTCTGACACAGCTGACGAATGTAGAATCATCTGAATATTTCTGTAGAGGGCATAGAGCGGGCTTCGGCTGTAAATCTGAAGTGTAGATGGTGAAAAGGAAGTACAGTAGAGTTCAGTCCCCTGTAGTGCTCCTGTATCGCTGACCACCTGGTTAGACACAAAGACCTTCCGTCCAGTGGACTTTAACCTGTTAGTCAGGTAGTCAAAGATGCTTTCAGCATCCATAAGAAATGGCAAAGCAATTTTGTGAATGTAATCATAAAATAACCAAATTCTTAAAGGAGATTGTGTTTTTTCATATCAAAGTAGAAATGCTAGAGAAGTGCCAAACTGGTCAGTCTAAGTTTATCCATGTCTATTTAACGAACGGTGAAGACCATGAATATTTATTTTATTGTAAAGTTGTTGTAAAAAGGCTTCTGGAAATGGAATAATATTAAAAGTATTACAACATCTGCCCTACTTAGTGTTATCAGTGTTTAATAATTAAACTCAAATGAGCATTTTAATTTAAATTTCCCTTTGGTGAAATAAAATATTTTTGAATTTTAATTGTAGAGGCAGGAATTCAACATATTACAATAAGTCACATCTGTGCTTGCGCTCCTTGCCAGTAATTGTCATACCACTTCCTCCACAATGTAACCTCAAGTATTCAACTGTTTAGATGTAAACTCCTGACTGACCTGAGGTAAGATGTAATCCTTAAAGTGGTCATATGCACATCAACAGCTTTAATGTGAGAAAACTGTCATGTGATATAAAGCACAGGCACTGTGATCACACACGCCTTGGGATATTCTATTGAACAGCAGAAATCCGTATGTGGTTTCATTTGGTGGACCTGATTAAAATACAAAAACCTAAAGAGCAAGCCAATAAGGAACCAAGACATAAAGACAAAACCACATTCTTAGAGTCTGAAAAATCAAGTTTGTTTAGGTTAAGTTGTCAAAAGCATTTCTGAAATCTATTAGTCGCAGCGGTCGTTTCTATAACAAGCTTATGGAAGGATTCTGTGGCGTGTTGTTTATATCACAATTTAATGCAGAGTCATGGGCGGATTTTGTTCAGAGCTCAAATTAAATTTCACAGTGTGAAGCATTCCCTGGTGACATTTTTTACTATTATTATAAAATAATGTTGGCGCTTTGACATCTGTAGAATTGTCTTAATGTAACTTATGTTTCTGCTTATTGTGTCTCCAGGAAACTCATAAAATATACAGACACAAACTGGAGGAGCTCACCAATCTTCAGGTGACATGCAGCAGCTCCATCAGCAAACAGAGAAAACGTCTGAAAGACCTGAGGCTTGTCTTGAAAAAGTGAGTTCTGCCAGCATTTAGGGGAAAGAAACATTTTTTGTTTGGTTTCAAAACAGTAAGACTCGGTTTAATGACGCGCTTGTACTGACGTGTCTGTCTATATTGCCTCACAAAAGTCTTCATACTTCTTTAACTTTTCCACATTGTTTCATATTTCAACCAAAATCTTCTGTCTAAATACAAGGGAATATAATGGAGGCTGCAAAAGACTAAAGAGCTTTGTAACTGTTCGCTATCAGTTGCACATTATTGAGTTTGGTGGGTGTGACGCCACAAAACATGACAAAGATGAAGAGATATGGATACTATTGCAAGACACATTCTCATTCTGATTCCAGTCACAGGGGTAGATGGATGCTACTGGGTTACTGCCTTAAAAAAAACATATTTTTTCTTCTTTCATTGAAATTTTCTTGCTCATCAGCATTTACTCTGGTCTTCACAGGTGTGCGCAGACAGGCGATGAAAATCAGCTGAAACTAATAACAGACATCAAATCACAAATCAAAGAAAAAGAAAATGTGTTCTTTGATATGGAAGCCTATTTGCCAAAGAAGAATGGGTGTGTTCTGTTTATTTTTTTCCATGTATTTGTTCTTTTCCTTATTCGGTAATATGAGAACTGTCATTGATTGTGCTGACCTGTTTTGTGTTTTTTATTTCAGGCTGTACCTGAGTTTGGTCCTGGGCAACGTGAACGTGACGCTCCTCAGTAATCAGGCAAAGTATGGAAAATGCAAAACCAGACGACTCCAAGATGGAAAATAAGATGTTGTCTATTTGCCAATCTCACCCATGTTTCATTTGTATAGATTTGCCTACAAAGACGAGTACGAGAAGTTCAAGCTTTATATGACAATAATCCTGATGTTTGGAGCCACAACCTGCCTCTTTTTTCTTAACTACCGGTAAGGTAATGCTCCCTCTTGAAGGAGTAGTCTTATAACGTTTTCTTAAATAACTTTTTTTTATTATTATTCAATCTTCAGAGTCACAGACGAAATCTTCAATTTTTTGCTGGTCTGGTACTATTGCACTTTGACCATAAGGGAAAGCATCCTCATCACAAATGGCTCCAGGTGTGTTCTGATGATGATCTCATAAAGATTTCTACATTTGGATTTTGAAAATAATGCGGCTGTTTTTGCTCTCCATCCCTTTTTTCTGTTTCAGAATCAAAGGCTGGTGGGTGTCTCACCATTATGTGTCCACTTTCCTGTCCGGTGTTATGCTCACCTGGTGAGATGCCTGTTGAGCATGATGTTCAGTAACACACCAAGAAGGTGAAATACATAAAATGCTCAAACATGTTTCTGTTTATCAATGTATGTTTTCACAGGCCGGAGGGACAAATGTATCAGATGTTTCGAAACCAGTTCCTTGCGTTCTCCATTTATCAGAGTAAGTGTTGTGGTTTGCTACCCAGATTTTAGCTTTTTGCAAAAAGGCTTTCTGTCTCATCAAATGTTCTTTTTTTATTGTACATGTTTGCATATTTGAAAGCAAAGCATACAGTCCTGTGAAAAAAAGATTTTGGCATCCAACAGGACTGTATTAGATTTATTGAGTCCCTCCAGAAAGATGCGATCGCAACTATTAATGCAAATTCATTCATCATTCTCAAATTGTATGTATTTTCACCAGTCGTCGCAAGTTCTTTGCAAATCTGACCAATAATCTTAATGTTTTCTGTATTTCCTTCTTTTACTGAAATGCATTATTAGTTTGAACAAAACAAAGACACCTTAAAGCAATAATTATGGCTTGTATGTTTGTTTGTATTTATGTTTGCATGACGGCATATTTCCAGCTAACCTATCTTGGTTAGCTGGAATCTAACCAATCCGGCGTGAGCTTTCAGCTCACTTTACAGCATTTAGCTCACTGCCTGAACAGTGGAGGGTTATAAATCAGCTGTAGAAAAAAAATCCTGGTTTCCTGAATGAACATTTCCATTCTTAAAAAATGGTTCTCCTAATTTCTATTTCTGTCCAGAAAGGAAAACAAAATACAGTGAAGTTGGAAAATATTCAGTTTTGAGCTTCAACTTGTTATATTTTGTGATTTGATCAGTTAAACACATATAAACAATCTCTTCTTCTTTTTCTTAGCTACAGAGGACTTTGAATCAAAGATTGCTTTCTTGATCAGGGAACTGAATATGCCAATATTTCCTAATCACTATTCTGAAATCATATGGAGAGTTAGATTTTGTTCTGTTATCTAAATGCATTAAAACTAGAAACTTGGACTATTTTTGGTAAACCCCATTTACTTTCATAAACCATCTGCTCAATCAAATCCAGCAAAATGCTTGGAACAAAAAAAAAACTTACTAGTGTGAGTGAGATCAGTACATTACTTTCTTTGTTTAGTCAGCATTTCTCCTCCCAGCTTCTCAAAGCCAGTAACACTAGTGAGTTTGTCTTTCAGGGCGTTTTCATCTGAAAATTCAACAAGTGAAAGTCAATATCCAAGATAAAAAAAATTAAAAAAAAGTCACCTGCAGGGCATTTAAACCGTCAACAAATATTTGCTTCAAGCAAGCAAATTTTCCTCAAATTCCAATTCACATATTGGCCAATTGGATAAATAAACTTTAAATTAATAAATTTGAAAAATTCATATCCAAATTTGGAGAATATATGCTGTGTTCCAAATTATTATGCAAATTGGATTTCAGTGTCGTGAAGATAACATTTTTTTATTGTGCTATTAAATTTATAGATGGTATTGTGTGTCAGGGCTCTTTGAATCAGTATCATTAATTTCAGAGAACTGGTTGATTAGTTTGTCTGGTGAGCTCAATTAAAGAAAATCTACTGGTACTTCAGGATGTTCCACATTATTAAGCAGGCCACAGGTCTCCAGCAATATGGGAAAGAGAAAGGATTTCTCTGCTGACGAACATCATCAGATAGTGTAGTGCCATATGCAAACATTAGATATTTAATAAAAACTGAAGCGTTATCGTACTGTTTATCGTACTGTGAAGAGATTTGTGGTTGATTCAGAACACAGATGGGTTTGTACAAATAAATGCATAATGAGGAGGGTTTCTGTTAGTCAAATTCATCAGATAAAGAGAGCAGCTGTTAAAATGCCCTTACAAAGCAGAAAACAGTTATTTGAAGCTACTGGTGCCTCTGGAACCTCAAGGAGGAGGATCCTCAGAGGCTGGCGGTGCATGAACTGCAAAGAAATTCAAGCAGAAACTTTCCACAAACTCGCAAGTTCAATGGATGCAAGAGTTGTGCAGGTGATATCAAAGAAAGTATCCTATGTTAACATGTAACTCGGCCTATTAAGATGTTTTTGATTGAAATAGCTTTTGATTTTTGTACACGTGACCACTTAATGCTGCACATTCAAACAATGACCATTTGCAGTTCTTTATAATCCATAAAATGTTTAGAAAATTTGCTGTGCAAAATCATTTGGAACAGTGCATGTTGAGTTTTTCATTTTGGAAAAACAATTCGGTTCTCATGGGGAGCTTTGATCAGTAAATTTTGATTTATTCTGTAATAGTTTATGACTTGAAAAATATACTGACCATCATTTGCGTTGACCATTTAAGGAGATCTGAAAAAATATCACTTGCATAATAATTTGGAACACAGTGTAATGCGTTGCACACTAGTGATTGAAATCATTAAGTGGTAACGTTAATCAGTCTCAGGCGGTGGTTCAGATTGAAAAACATTTAATTTAAATAATATCTTTTCATAATTTCAGGGTATAAAACGTTAAATGGTTGGATTTTTTTTTCTAAGGAGATATAATTGGTGTGTTTGTAGCATTTTCTCTCTCCTCACATATATATTTTTTCTGTGAAATCAATTTAACCTTATGTTTCTATAATCCAGTAATTGTATTACTATAATTTCTACAATTCTAGGCTTTGTTCAGTTCCTCCAGTATTACTACCAGAGTGGCTGTTTATACAGGCTGCGCGCTTTGGGAGAGAGAAATCAGCTTGACCTCACAGTGGGTGAGTTGTACGCTATTTTTGGTGCTAGTCATTTCAATCGTTTGAACCCTTGAGTCATCTGCAGCGGCATGTCTAGAAAATTGGGGTAAAGGTGAAGAATGGAGACAGCTGTAGCTCTTACTCTGTTGGGATGCAGATGTCTGGGAAACTCGAGTGAGGCATCTTCAAGCTATCTCCAATGTCAGATTGTTGTGCAGAAAATATAAAGCAGTAGTATAAAAATAACGTAACTATTCTGTGGTACGATGAGGTCAAAGTTGGGTTTCTTTTGCAGAGGGATTTCAGTCGTGGATGTGGAGAGGGCTCACTTTCCTTTTGCCTTTTCTATTCTTTGGCCACGTAAGTCGAACAAGTCTTGCCTTTCTGCTTGAATTTAATGCATTAAAATAAAAAAGTACAAGTTATGCCACATCACAGTTAGCATTTGTAGCCATTGTTTGCTCTGATAGGCTTTTTTTTAAATGCAAGCCCAGAATGAAAATTTGCTTTTGCCACTTTAGTGTGTAAAGACAGTATAAAAGGCGATGCTTAATCTGTTTGCAGTTTTGGCAGCTGTACAACTCTGTGACCCTGTTTCGCTTGGCAAGACATGATGACTGTAAGGAGTGGCAGGTAAGGATCGGGTTGATGGATGCCGTCGTTCAGTCAAAACAAACAAAAAATATCTACATCAGCATAATTTTGTCATTTTTTTTTCTGGGGCTTTAAAAAAAATCAGGTTTGATGAAACCTTTAAAGGTTTCTGTCCTGCTTCATAAATTTCTGGCTTTGCTTCGAACATCTGAAGATTTATTCACTAGCGTTCCAGCTGCTTTTCCCAACTCATGCTTTCATCAGCAGCACAGATAGCGAGACACAAAAGGAAACTGAAGCAGCCTTTCTGTTTCTTCTTCACTGTAATGTCACTATAAAGGGTGAAAAACACTTAGATTTTTACGGGAAAACCAAGATTTATTAGTTCAGCAAAATATTATGCATGCTCTTTAATACAGCTCATAAGCCAAGCACTCTGATTGTCTTAAAAACATTAAAAACATTGGCCATGCAGGTTTCAGCTGCACTACTTGATGACTAACCACGTGGGTACAGCTGATGAAAAATATTGGATGTACAATGAGGAGTTGAGTTTAATAAGGGAGACTGATGCTGATCATTTAGAAGTGGTTTAACTTTCTCATTGTTTACACGTCTACAAAAATACTGTTAAAAAATAGTAATTTGTAAATTCACCTCATTGGCATGTTTACAAGGTCATGTTTTTGTTTGCCATGTTCAGTGTAGAAAAACAATCTCAAATAATACAAATAATTTTCTGAAAAAGAAGCTAAACGATACACAGTGATATTTTGTGTTTGACTGCAATTTCAATGCGAGTGACTCGGATTTTTCTTGAATTTTGATGATATTCAGCTCAAAATTTAAGAGAAAACCAATTTTGTGGGTAAAGGGAAAGTTGGTTTTTATCTCAACCCGAACAAGTGGTGACATAATCTTGTCTTTTTTTGTTTCATGAAATGATGCACTACATTTTTTTTCTAGGGAAATGCTGCTTTCAGGTTAACATAGTTAATGTTTCATATTTTTAGTATAACAGTTTCACATTTGAAGTGCTAAAAATGATTTCTAGTGCAGCTTTTGTATTTGTTTATTTTGTAAGCTTTTTTTTATATTGACGCAAGTTTTCTTTCCTTGCTTTCAGATATTCATGCTGGCTCTAACATTTCTCGTCCTCTTCCTGGGAAACTTTCTCACAACATTAAAAGTCGTCCACCAAAAAGTTCAAAAGAAGGAGAAGGACATCTAAAAACGTGACTGAATAAGTTCGGTGAAACCTCTCTGATCCTTGAATGGAGCAGCAATCACAGGTCAAACGCGCACAATCGTTTCAGCGGACTGATCCCACACTGACCAGGCTGAGTCTGGACGGAGCTGAGGTTTCTCTCAGCATTCAATGGCAGCAGCTTCCAGCCAAAGTATCCCGTTGACAGGTTCTTACTTTACAGTAACTTGATGTTGCTGTGAAACGGTGTGGATGATAACCAAACAGGAGGAGCAGTTTCTTGCTTTATTCTGTGTACATATTGTGGACAGAATGTGTTTCTATGGATTTGTGCATGAGTTTTGGAGCACCTTCGCTCAAATCATTATGCAAGGACAGGTAGCAGAACAGAACAAAGTTTGCCTTTCAACACTTGAACATCTGCCATGCGCATACTTCTGTGAAGTAGTAGTAATGGTCAAACTGGCGCTGGCTCATATTCTCTTCAGTCAATGAACTTTTTTTTTCTTTATGGACATTTTAAAACCACTGTCATGTTACTTCAGAGCAAACCAGCACACGGTTCAAGCCCATGACTCTAAAAGCATTCGTGAAAGGGAGGGGGAAGGGTCCTCACTGGTGTACTTTGCTCTATTTACGGTCAGAGGGAACTTTTTTTGTTGTTGTTTTTAGTCAGAAAACTTCCATTAAAAAGGGAATTTGACATTTATTAAAGACCAACTTTAGTGAAACAGCAAGGAAGCAGACATAAAAATGTTGCTGTTGATTCCCAAAATATTTCTCACTGACATAGATGCTTTACATTTCACATCTTAGCAATTTGTTAAGAAAACATCTAGCAGAAATTTGGCTGATGGTCTTAATTTTGGAGAAGAAATGTAAAAGTTCAAGATGCACTCTTCAGGTCCTGACCGCTCTGGTTTCTTCTGTTATTTTGTTACATAATGTTGTGCCAGTGATCAAACATTGCTGTTTGTGCCGCAACTCAGATTTATTCAGCGAGGAGTACTGTTGTGTTTTTTCCGTTTTAAATTACATAAACGTACCACTATTCTGTAATCATGCACACTAATTTTTATTTTTGATTAAATCATTCACAGTAATGTTTTCTTTTTCAGTCTTTTTAATCTGTTATTTCAAAATGTGGGTGTGCGTTGCCTTACTCTACCCCTGAAAAAAAAATCTTCCATGCTATTTTGAAAATGCCTCAAGTTAAGTTTTATTATTATTATTATTAGCTCCATCAGAGAGCACTTAAAACTCATTAGCTATCATTTCTATTGAGGGGGGGAATTGAAGCTCGTTGGGATCAGGTGGTTACATTTTATGCCATAATGCACAAATCTTTTTTTTACAATGTGGCTGTTCATTTCATGTGTCTGAAGTGTGGTCAGTAACAGGACATGTGCAAGTTTCTTTAACCTGTGTATGTTGTGAACAAAATCCATGCCACATTAAACACAAATATGCAACTGTTTATGTGAAGATCCAGACAATGTTTGCGTTTAATTTTAGAATATTCATAGCGCTTGCGAGTTTATTTTCTGCCTCAAGTGGGTGCTGTTGGTAAAGTTAAGAATTACTAAGCGGTCTAATGTGGCCATGTTGGTAGCCAACCAGTGCTACTTTAAAGTTACAGTACCTTTACATAAAGACAACCAACAACTATTCTATGTAGAATTATGTTGCCTACGAATTTCAGCTCAAGAACTGAAGATTTCCATTAATAAATAGATGTAGACAACTTTCTGCAGTTGTGCAAAATACTTTCAGGAAAAAAATACTTGTACATAAACACAAAAAGTATAAAATGCATACAAGAAGTGTCTTGTATGCTACATTAGAAAATGTCATTACAACTTGCAAAACTGCCCTTCCTGCTGCAGCAATCGCAATTTTTGTTGCGCTGTTGAAGATTACTAACAGGCCTTCCGGGGTGCTCATAACACACATCCTATCAGGGTTTTTTTTTTTTTACTTTCATATCTGTAGGACGCAAATTATATTTGCCATCTCAAGTGTCCAAATGCGTTGAACATAGCAAAGGATCCTCTAACAATTGCCTGCAAGAGCGTGGGATCCTGAAAGTTTGTATCTTCACAGAATAAGACATTTTTTCTTCCTCTTGTTGTTCCTCTGTTTTCGGTTGAAGGCCAGAGCTCTTTTTGTCGCCTCTCTGAAAATGTCCTCCACGTTCTCCTGATGTTTGGCCGAACACTCGAGATAGAGCTCCGCGTTCATCTCCTGCCGAGTCTCCTCGCCCTGTGCCCAAACACACCAAGAATTACACTGTGGCTGACACTATGACAAGCATGCAAATAAAAATAAGCAATTGGAACATGATGGAGATAATGTGGTTTAAATGTTTGGTTTGGCAGCTTCCTCTTTCACATTGCTCTGTGCCTCCTGACCTCGCTGAAAAGGTTCTGCTTCATAGATCAGTAAATGCTGATGCATTTTCTTACCTGAACATATGTGATGGGATTCAGATTCATGGCCTTCAATTTCCTTGAACACTCTTTATCCTTCCTGAGGTCAGTTTTGCAGCCAATCAGGATCACCGGTGTGCCCCTGCAGAAGTGCTTCACCTCTGGGTACCACTAGATAAATATGAGATTTGAACATTTTGTTTAGAACTGGAAGCCCGGGATATATGATTGCATTACCGTGCTTGTTTTTGCTTGACTGAATGATCTGTATGGAGGTTTAAACGGCAATAGTTCTTGAGTTAATCATCAAAAAGAATGCAGCACTTCTTCTACTGTACATAGCTTTCACTATTATCAGATAAAACCTGAAACTCCACTTTGCGATAAAGAATCGCTTAGCATTTCTTTGTGTTGTGTGTATGTATATTTTGACGCAAGGCATGTTGGAGGTGTGTACCTTGATCATAACATTCTCAAAGCTGGTAGGGTTGGTCACATCAAAGCAGATTAAAACCAGATTAGCTTCTTGGTACGACAGTGGCCTCAGTCTGTCATAGTCATCTTGTCCTAAAGAAACAAAAGCATGTGGGTAAAAAACCAGCTTTCGAGAAGAAGTCGTGCATGATAATGCACAGCAGACCTGAGCAACACAATATTTCTCTTAAGAATAAATATACCAGTGCGATGTATCTGAAAAAGCTGCCAGTAAAGACAAAAAAACCACATCCTGAATAAGGCTTCCCTCTCGACAGATGCAATGCACCCTGCCAAAAGATAAGTTTCGGCAGGGTGTAATGACTTTCTAAAATGAAAACATTTCAGTACTGTGCACTTTCCCGTGAATCTTACAGGAAGCTGTGTGAAAAACATGCACTTCTTATTCCTGGGTAATTATGAAAACGAAAAAAAAAGAAAAAAGAAACCACAATTAATGCAACACTGCCATGAACATAAGCAACCAGTCAATATGGCAAACAAGAGGTTTGCTAATTTAGTTCACAAAACCAGAAACTGTACAAAAGATCTTTGATCATTGACACAGAATACTAAATATGTAGCAATTTTTTTTCTTTTAAAAAAAGAAAGCACTAAAGCCAATGCGCATCTTGACATAAAAATATTACAAAATAAGCTAAAACTAAATAAAAATTATATATTTCTAGTAAAAACTAAATGGGTTCTATTTTATATTAGAATTATAATTATCACTAACTTGTTCGTATCAACCTTTTCTACTTCCTCAACATTTGTTGCTCACCTAACAATTCAGTGACCAATAAAACTTTACAGCCCAGAAGTTTATTATCTAAAATAAACACTTTGAAATGTGTTGCCATCCCCATTAAGTGACAGCCTTGCTGTCACTTAATGAACTATTGCATTATCAACATGGGGACAAGGTGTGTGACCTCTGAGTTTCTTCCTGGAACCTCCTTGACCCTTTAGTATGATGTGAAATGTGTTGCACCAAAAGGAAAAACGGGATGAATTGTAAGAAGGAAGTTATATTTCTCTTACCGGCTGTGTCATACAGGTTGAGCTGTATCTCTTTTCCTCCCAGGGAGATAGTTGTGACATACTTTTCAAACACTGATGGCGCATATTTCTGTTTAGGAAAACAAAAAGGTTTATTCTTATCACTGAATGTTTGATATCGACTTCAGATCACATTTAATTGTTTTTTTTTTACATTAAATCTTTGACATTTGTCATATAAAGTGTTGTTTGTATGTTAAAGTCTCAATGGGAGCTCCTCTTACCTCTGGAAAATCACCTTTGGCATAAACCATCAGAAGAGAAGTTTTCCCACAGCCTCCATCTCCCACAATCACAATTTTAAGTTCTTCTACCTTTTTTGTGGAACCGCTGCCGGGTCCGGCACCGTTTTGTGTCATGTTTTGGTTCCCTCGAAACACTCAAATGCGTGCCAGGCAGTACGAGGCAAGAAGGCGCTCGCTCCAGATTTTAGTGAGAGATTTTGTGAAAACAGGTAACTCTACATTTGGATCGAGTTGAGATCACAGAGACAGGAACAGGCATGTCTCATGGTTTACCAGGTAGTTCAAACAGCTCACCACTTCCTCTTCCTGTCAACATGACGCCGTTTCCAACTGTCCCCCCCTGCACTTCTCTCCTGTCCCATCAACAGGCATGCTCACAGAGAGCTGCAGAAAGCCTGCAGCCGAACTGCACATGTATAGTCACCAAGACTGGCTACTCCTACTTCCTCTTCTGCTTATTTCATCCTGTGGGTGTGGGCTCAAAGTGAGGGACAGCCTCCACTGAGTGGCAATTTGTAAGGAGGGAAGATAGCACTTAACCCAAAACCATAAATGCTTTCGGACAGGCTTTTGTTTGCACAGGCATCACTATAAAACCATTCCCTACCTCTGTGGTTCAGAAAAGTGAGGACAGTGAGTGTAATAACCTCACACCTTCTTCAAAACTGTTGTTGTACATGTGGGGGCAGGAGAAGAAACTGAAGTCTAATTTGACTTCACTGTTTATATCACCAGTAGGCGGGATTTGTTGAAGAGAACGAGGATACAAAACGTTATACTTGATGTGTTTGTATATTTTAAGTTCAGCTGAGTTTCAGATTTACATCTTCAGTTATTTCCATTCAACAAGGAAGTTTCCTTCTGATAAATGAGACGCCACTGCTCAACAGGTAAATGGAAAAAGAGAGTCATTTAAAAAAAGAATCAATTTACATTTCATAAAAATTGACTTGATGAAAACAATTCAAACCCCCTTCAACAATCAATGGAAACATTTTTTTGTTGGCATTACAGCAATCAAATCTTTCCACAACTGTGGACCAGCTGTTTTCCATGTTTCCACTGGTTTTCTGAAGATTTGTTTGGCGAATAACTGCAAGTCTCTGAGGTTGGAAGGCTACCTTGTCCCCAACCTAGAACTCCCTCCGATTCAACTCTAAAATATTGTTCAAATTAAACAATTCCTTTAAATGTTGAGTCACGATAATCAAAAAGGTTGTTTTTTTTAATTCAGATGATACTAACCTAAACCCTAAGTGGTCCATTCTCATGTTCAGGTTGAATCTTGGGGCGAGAAAAATCATGAGTCATCCACCAAGTCTTCAGAGGACTTGAGTTTATGCAGCCATAAACGGCTTATATTTTGCAACCAACATTACAAAACAAGTTTCAGCGTCTCACCAGGTCAAAATGAGAAGGTACTTTTGAGGCGTATTGAACAAAATAATCAGTGTGTCATGAGTTTTAGTCATGGGTTAATGTGTGAAACCCTGAGGCAGACATGGTCTAGCTGATACCTCGCATTAGGGAGGTATCACTGCACAATAGGCATAAACAATCACTCATTGCTCCAAAAAAATATATATATATATTTCATCAGGACAGTAAATGTAATTAACGGTGCTCTAAAAGTGAAGTATATTTTTCAAAAACAATTTTGGAAAAGCTTTAACTGATGAGGATTACAGAACAAGACAATCTGCTGGGGTAGAGTGAGTAGATCACAGGGAGTGAGCGTTCATCATCAGAACATACCAAAATGTTCTTGAATGGACCAGTTTACTTAACATGAAGGCATTTCAGCTGAAACTGAGGTAGGCTGTAAAGTTACATTTCAAGATTAATGTTAGAAGACAGCTAGTAGAAGAAGCTATCCCTTTAGAATGATGTGTTATAAATGTGTATTATCTGAAAAAGGTATTTTCAGCATCTTATAAATGATGACTTGTACATTATTGATCCAACAATGTCAGCCTGTATCTGAAGTAATGTTCCCTGCACATGTTGTGTAATTTATTACATTTGGGTGATGCAATCCTTTCTCAAGTATGGGCCTGAAAATATTTTATAAAACATAAAATAGCACAAAACTCCAAAATGAGTGTACAGTCTTTATTTAAACGCCATAAACATACAACTAATGAGGCTACAAGAAAAACTGTATAGTGAAACAAAAACAAATGATTAAGTCACAAAAAATAAACCTACATACAACACCATTAATATAAAAATCACAAGTTACTAGTAACACACTGGATCAATAAAACTATACAGCTTTAAGTACATGTTCAGTACAACCTGGCAGCTTTAAATTATTATCCCTGTAAGGCTCCATTTCAAGCTGTGGGGGAAAAAACCCTGTCTAATAAACAATAAAACGTGCTTGCATGACTTACAGAGTGAAACTCGAAGCTTCACATATGCGTAAAAAGGTGGTCTGTAAATGTGTCCTAGAATGTCCACACGCACTGAGCCCTTTATCAATAAACAGAGAACAATTCTTGAAATATTTGTCGCCGAGCAGAGAGAGAGAAAGAGAGAGAGAGTGAGACAGCTGTCCTGCGGAAAAGAGGCCAATCCCCTGTGTGGAATATTCCAGTCTGTCAGCGGTAAACTGAGCGGCGCTGGCGAGCGGGCACTTTTTTTTTTTTCCTCCCTGCTTTTTTTTCCCCTGCAAATACAAGGCTATAAATACCTTCACTGGTGGGTTTCGACACAAAACTGTCCACCAAAAGTGACATTTTCACTGCTCCGAACACAAAACTATTCAATAAATGCGCAGTTAACAGGCCTCTGAACCCACAGCCGGGTTTTTGTGCCCTGCTATTTATCTCGCAGGCAACTCCATCGCATTGAAAAACAGGCAACATTAACCTTCAAATGCACCTGGAGACCCCAGCCCCCTCCCTCCATATCGCAAGCGAATCCAGGCCCTCCCACCTATGATTTAACTCTTTCCCCGAAGTTAACTGCAAGAACCCGTTCTCATTTATTCCCACTATCTGGTCTGCGGCGCCTAAGACTCGCCGTGCTGGTCGCTCGCTGATCCGCCCGTTTCTGCCTTGAAGCACCCTTCACCTACATACAACACAAACAGGGGCTTGCCGCAGCGGATTCCCGTTGACCTTATATGGCAGTGTGTGGGGGTTGTTGTTGCAAAGCTCTCGAGCTCTCATGGCAACCGTCCAGCTCTCGGATTACTAATCAGCCTAGCAACTGCCTGCCTGAAAACGCTTTTATGATCAAAGTTCCAGCCCCTCTCATGGAGAGTCCACCATTTATCCTCTTTTTTTGTTGTTGTTTTTCGACTAAAATGCATTTGGACGATAACCATTATTCGTTACAGTCGTCATATTTGGTTCTGAGTGCCGAAAACGTAGAAGGAAGTGTTCCGACACACACACAAAAAAAAAATAAGGGCGCTTTCCAGAGCCTCACCCAGTTATGGCGCAGCAACATTTCACAGCACAGTGCTCCTTTTGTCTGTGAAGAAGCCATTTTGAGACAGAGCACTGAGCAAGAGCAGCCTCCTGACCACCAAAAGGTTTATTTGGATGTAAGGAATCAGTAGAAAAAAACACAAGATTTCCTCCCCATAAGATTGCTTTTTGCTCGTTTAAGACTTGGATTACATATTTTGAATATCAACTGTAAGTTTGCTGCATCATTAAAAAAAAATGTGGGCTGCTGCAGTTCTTTCCTATAATCGTTTTTGTCAAGTTTTAAAAGTCTGTGGCTAATAGGTTCACGTATAAGCAATTAAAAAATTTGATTAAATAGCTAAAAAAATAAAATAATCCGTTACCTTATTAAAACATTTCCATGTAGGGTTTAAATGATGTAGCTCAGTTAGAAATGTCGAAAATGGACGAGGTTATACTCGACTGCAATCCTGTCTCGAGGAGAAGAGATGGTTTTGCATATTGCCCACACAGATGATGCTTGAAGATGCATTTTCGCTGGCTGTCAGACGGGGTATGCTTGCCAGTGATGAGAGGAAAAAAAAAAGAGAGACTTTTTTTGAAAAGAGGTTTAACTGTCGTGCTAATGGAATTCCTTCCTTTTCAGGAGACGCATTCCCACCCACTATTAAAGCCATTATTAGAGGATCCGAAGATGGGGCTGCAAACATCCCTCCTGTCCCTGCGTTTAGGCCTGTTCACTGCATTCACCAAAGTGTTGAGGTAAATATTTTCACAATGACAAAGCTCTGCCTCCATCGGTTTCCTATTGGGTTGTTTGTGACTTGAAATAGTGCAAGAAATATTTTTGTACCTGAACATGCTTCTTTGAGATATTTAGATATACCCTTGAGGCAAGGTCAAACAGGCGTTTACACTTTGGACGCGTTTGGCTCTGAAATGGTGAGTGGACGACTCGAACCAAAACGTGGTTCTGGTTGTTTCCACCGTTCCAGGGCAGGGTACAAGACGAGCCATGTTGCTGTTTTGAGAGGAAGAATGTTGACAATTAATACACAAAACAAATAATTAGAAGCACAATAATTTTTTTGGTGAAAAGATATTTGTTATTTATGGCCTGCTTTGGACAAGTTGCACTTAAACATGTACAGAAATCAATGTCAACATATGAAACTGAAAAAAAAAGTTTTAATAAAAGTTACTGCATGCCTCACAATTGACATTGTTAAACAATCAAAAAATGTTACATCATATATTAAAATAATGAAAACTTACTTATTGCTACTCACTTCCTACAAGGCCATAACAGGAATAGAGACGTATATCACTTTAACTGTTTTCATGTCTAATTTAACGTCTCCAATCACTTAAAACAGTTTATTCACATTTGGTTTTTCACTTAACAAATATAAATATTATATGGGTGTGCCATGACCTAGTTAAGACAAAGATGGATTCCAAGCAAAAGAAAAAAAAAAGATTGAAAATGTCAGAGTATTACATCCAGTAGCTACATTCTCTTCCAATCTTCCCAATCCTTTAAAAGGAGCAAACATACGTTTTATCATAGTCCGTAAAGAGATGAGGAAACCAAGTGTAAAGATCCCTTTTGGAACAAAGGAAACCCATATAGGCCATTGAGTCCTGTTTTAAGGAAAATGGCTGCCGAGAGAGCGTACTCAGCCCCCTCTCCCTGCTCTCTCTGTTGAAGGACTCCTGAGCCGTTGCCTCTAATAGCAGGCAGCTCCACCGCTGCCGGGCTCTGATTGGCCCGCCGAGCTGCCGCTGTTAACCAGCCAATTGCCCGAGCACTGCAAAACAACAGGCAATGTCAAACAAAACCCAGTTTGCTCGACAACACGCTCTTCGTTTAAATAAAGAAAGACGAAACCTAGAGACCAGGAAATACCAGTGAATTTTGAAGAGTTTGATGACTACAACAAGTCAGACATTGCTGTTTGTTGTAGTTCGTCCGTTAAGTGTCAACTGCCAGAAAGAAACGAAACAAGCCGCTGCATTCCAATAGTCACAAACGTTAAAGAAACTGTAGAAATCAGCTGCTAACTAAACAAATTTCCCATTTAAGTCGTATTTATTTGATTTAAACGCAACACAAGTAGCCCACTGGAGTCTCTGGAAGCACTTAGGTTTCATTTTTCTATTTTAAAATATGCAGCCACACGTCTGTGTAGCATACAGCTCCTACCCGAATCAGCTTTATTAGCTTTCAGAAGCAGTTAAGAAGATATTGCCCTCTGAGTTTAGCTTGTTTGCCGTTTAAGTCAACGCAATCAGCAGATTCAACACTGTTACTCAGTGATTTAAGCGCACTAGAGTATCGCTGGAGCTCAGATTCCCGTATGTTTTAGGTGTATTTGTGCTTTTGTTCCACGTGTTTGTCCAATACGATTTTTTTAGTTGAGTTTACGATGGAAATGGAAGCAACTTTGTGGCGAAAGTGCGATGCACGCAGGGGGTGGGCAAGCCTAGCGGTGTATTGTGGGAGAGACAGCAGCTAGAGACCAGAGGCACACACACACACACACAATATGTGCTGGCTCTCGCCGAAAAGGAGGCAGTATTCTTCAAGCGAAATCATGTAATGTAAACGGAGAAAGCAAGGCGATTTCATCTTTTTTGTGTATTTTAAAGAACACTCGATCGGACGAACCATGTCCAAGCCAGCGGAGAGGAACAGATTGAACGAAGACCATGGGAGAAAGCAGAGTTCAAGTAAGCTTGTTCTTTTTTCCCCTCTTTCTCCAGCTTTACTAATGCCTGTTTTTCCGTAAGTGGGATATACGCTACATCCAATTTTCATTTCCCCTCATTGCCGGAGTCATGCATGTGTCGCGCTGGGCTGTTTTGAAGTGTTTGGAAGGGCTGGTTGGTCGGGAGACTGTTTAGCCCTGGCTCCCGATAACGCTAGCTCTCCTCTCTCCCTGTCGCTGGCTGCCGTTTCAGGTTTGGCGAACGGCATGGACAGTCATCCCGTCTGCGGCTCGGCGGAGAAGCGGAATCACCACTGGAGAAGTTACAAGTTGATCATCGACCCGGCGCTCAAGAAGGGATCCCACAAACTCTATCGCTACGACGGGCAGACTTTCAGCATGCCCGTAAGTGCCGCCGTTGATGCGGCCAAAAAGGCTACAATAGTAACCGAGGAGCCGACCTCCATGATGCCGTTACTATGTGGCTGTTTTTTGCCGTGGCACATTCAACATCCTCGAACACCTGTTTCACCAAGGAACAATTCCGATTTTTTTTGCACAACTACTTTGCAACAAGTTAATACTATGTGCATCTGGCTAACAGGATCGTGTCCCTTCCTTATCTCTAACAGAACCCAGGGATACCACCGGTGGACCTGGTCCGTGACCCGAGGATCGGACGTCTCTGGACAAAGTACAAAGAGACAGACCTACCGGTGCCTAAATTCAAGGTATCTGCCATCGAAGTCGAATGCCTCATTGCTGCCTGAGGAAAACAGTTGCTGTCAGAAGTTGCAGACACACCCCCCTTCTCTGTCATCTTTGGGTCTTGGAGTTAAAGTATGCACCGGCCAGGCATAACATTATGATCAACATGGGCTTCCCGACTGAAACTGGGATGTACTTTGCTTTCTGACAACTCTCGGCCTGAATCAGCGTTCATTCTTCAGCAATTTGAGTTGGATTGGACCCCATGAAGCAGACCCTGCTCACTAGGGCATTGCTTTTACTTCTTTGGATGACTGCAGACCAGAAACGCCACAAGAGCTGCAGTTTTGGAGATGCTTTGATCCAGTTGTAAAACTTACTTTGGTCCTTCTTCTTGTCCATTTTTCCTGGATCTAACACAGCAAACCCGAAGATAAAATGTTCTCTTGCTTCCTAATATAGCTCACATGCTAAACAGGTGCCAGCCATGATGAAGAGATAATTATTGTCATTCATGTCACCTGTCTGGGGTCATAGTGTTATGCCTGATCAATGTATATCAATGTGTGGATACACTGTTATATTTGTGGATCTAAGAGCTTTAAGGAATTTATTGCAGCTTTTTATCCTTACCTCGCCTGATAGAAATGGCCCCACATAGCAACATTAAACTTTGACGGCCCTTCTCACCTCAACCCCTGTCATTCCTCTCCCAGATCGATGAATTTTATGTCGGCCCCGTGCCTCCAAAGGAGGTGACGTTCGCCAGGCTGAACGACAACATCAGGGAGGGATTTCTCACGGACATGTGCAAAAAGTTTGGAGATATCGAGGAGGTCGAGATCCTGTACAACCCAAAGAATAAAAAGCACCTGGGAATAGCTAAAGTTGTTTTTGAGAGCGTGAAATCTGCCAAGGTTGCTGTTCAGTCGCTGCACAACACGTCCGTGATGGGAAACATTATCCACGTGGAGTTGGACCCGAAAGGTAAACAGTGATTCATTCATTCATTCATTCAAAGCTTCTGCAGGCTTGCGTTTATGCAGAGCTGGATCAGTTATAAAATGCATGAACATGGATTTGAAAGATTAGTTTTATATGTATTTTTTGAATGATCACAATGACAGCAGTCACGTGTTTACATTTACGTGCGTTGCCTGGTTACATTGGCGTAATTGAATTTCATTGAAAATGATCACGGTCCCATAAGCCCAGAGCTGGGGGTGCTGCGTACTCCCACTGAGCATAATTTTAGACCTGAAAACAAACAATACCAATCTGTCAGAGTCTCATGCACCTCTGTTGATTTCAATTGATGTAGCTTTTAAAAAAATAGAACTATTTCTTCTTGCACTTAATAAATCTATTAAAAGTTCTAAATGTCTTTCAAAATGAGTATCTGGAATGCTTTTTACCATCGAGCATGTTAAAATACTTTTTCTTAATATTTGTGTTTATACGGAGTTACTTCAGCAATTTTTTTAAGTGCACTTTGAACTGTTTTCATCCATTCCAAAAAACTAAACATGCACTTTTTAAAAGCTAAGATGCATTATTGTATGCATTGATTCGT